CTATAGCCCCAGTGAAAAGATATTGACTATCATTTAATCTGCATATTTAGGGACTTCCTGAGATTTCAAGTTGTTGCAGTTCTAAATGATCCTTGACTCATCCAAAGGCAGAGAAAACAAGACCTCAGCCTTGCACCTGAAAGTAAGAAAGAACGAGCTCCAGGTAACTAATTGGGAAAACCCAAGGCACTGATTTGCAGCTGACACAGGTGAAAACCTTGGGTGTGAATAAATTCCAGTGAGCTCTTACTTGTTAGTTCTTGACAAGAAAGAAACTGAGCTAGAACAGCAATGATGAATCCCACCTGTTAAGCTTCTGTTTTCTCCCCTGAGTAACTGGCCAAGGATTAGGCCAGATAGGGAAGGAATCTGATCAGGAATAGAAATTTATCAGATTCTCCACAACTAAGTCAGAACCTTCCAGAACCTCTCATACACAGCAGTCCTAGGCACCTACATCTGAAAGCAAGGGCTAAATACCTGTTATTCTAAATAGTTCAAGAGCTTTTACACTGAAAAGAAAAAATAGATAAAATACAGTTGACCCTTGTACTACACAGATTTGAACTGTGAGGGTCCACTTAGATGCGGATTTTTTTCCATAGTAAATACTACAGTACTACATGATTTCAGGTTGGTTGAAAGTGTGGATGCAGAATCTAAGATACAAAGGAACCGTGGATGTTGAGGAACTCTGTACATGGAGGGCCGACTCTAAGTTATACATGGATTTCCCACTGTGGTGAGGGCTGGCTCCCCTAACCCCCGGAGGTTGTTCAAGGCTCAACTGTATCGCTATTCCATACTCTGTTTCACTAAAAAGCATCTCATTTGGGAAATCATCTTTCTTCATCCCACTCTTTTGGGAAAGGACTGATTTTGCCTTAGTTTTTGTTGAGAGAACTGAAAACATAGATACATCTTAGAAGCTGTCAGAATTGCAATCCAGACCTGTTATTTCCCTGGTGTCCAGTTTCGCAGTGAAACACCTTGCCTAATTAATACCAGAGTTCCTGTCCTGAGGCTACCTTTAAAGAGCAGCTCTGTGGGAAAGAGTTGGATACTCTGCATCCCCTCCTCTTTCACCAAAGGGACAGAGATTCTGAGTGTTTCCAGCCACTTCCGGCAGCATCTCTCGGCATTTAAAAAAAAAAAAAAAAAAAGGCCCTGCTTTGTGAAATATGGCAGAGTATGAGTGAACTGGAAAGGGCCTGCCAGCAGTTTTCCTTCAAGAACTGCTCCCTTATGGAACCCGTTGTTCCCTCAGAAATTGTAATCTATCGCCACCTGGCGGTCCCTGCGTCGTCGTGTTTGAAATAGCGAGAACTGGGCGTCTTAAGATGTGCCCCAATACAAATTACTCTGTCCTCTTTGATTAATTTCTTTAATATTAGAATATTTTCATCTTCTGAATAGCAAGGGGGAAGGGACCATATGACGATTATCTGAGGAACTCAGCGCTGTTCTTTAGAAGAAAAGGTTGTAATTTCCGGAGTCCTCTCTGGCGGCGTTCTGGCTGGAATTCTCCCTCTCTCGCCACACTTTTAACCCTTTCCCATCTTCCAGGAGTGAGTGTGACGTCGTCTGTTGCGGGTAGGGGTGTTGATTTAGCTATGGTTCCCAAAGAAAGTCCAGAATGATTTGGGGAACTATCTTTAAAGTACACAAACACACCGAATAGACCTTCGCTCCCACTTACGAAAAGCCGAGTGTACGGTTAACGCTGCCCACAGCCCTCGTCTCGGGAGACAGACGTTTAAAAGGTGAGCACTGCCATTTTTCCCCCCTCTTTTTTGGTCGTAAATTAGATGCTTAAAATAGACCTTAACGAGCAGGCTGAAATGAACCAACACTGTGGCTCTAAATTACCTTTCCTGGAGGCTAAAAATGCTAAATGCGTTAAAAAAAAAAAAAGATTGACGTTTCATATTTACTCACCTTGACGCGGACCATATTTTACGCATAAAAAATCTCCCCCGCAGCCCATTTGGGTGCCCCTTCCACTCCTTACTCCACCCACTCGCTTTTTTTCCTTTGACGAAAGGCTCATCTCCAAATCCAAATCCACTTGGAATATCTTTAAACCTCCCGGGGAAAGGGCATTGTGGGCGGAGGGTCGTATTCCCAAGTCCCAACCATCCTTGACCTAAAGGAAGGTTGTCCTCGGAAGACATAATCGAGTAGCCTGGGTTGCAGGCTGGCAAAACCTCCACGCCCGGCAGAGAGAGACCAGAGGGGTCGCCCTCGCCCCCTCCTTCTTCTGCCTCTGGACGTCTTGTTCCCATTTCTTCAAAGCGCTAAACCTTCGATCAAATGCAAACGAAACAGCTGGGCGGATACTACTCCCTTCCGGGCCACCCCTCACCACCGGCAAGAGTCCCCAGAGAAGATATCTTTTTCCCACCCCCAATATCCAAAGCATCTTCCCCCGGGAGTCATAAAAGATAAAAATAAGAGTGGGAAAATACCGACAAAAATATAGATCCCCAAATATTCTGAAGAGCCGAAAGACAACCACAACGACCCTCCTTGCAAATTCTTACCGGAGAGGCAAGAATGGGGCGACATACTCCACCACCACCGCGCCCCAACAAGGGAAACAAAACCCAGCAGTTACTGCTGGGAGGCGGATGGGGAGAGCTGGGCGGGTTTCCTAAATGCTGGAGACCTAAGCGGACTAACCCGAGGCTTAAGCGACCAAACCGTGGGCTCTGTCCTTGGTGCTGAAAGAGCCGTGCCCTAAGTCCGAACTCGCTGTGCTGAAACTGGAATTCCAGGCCTTCGGTTCCTTACCATCTCCGCTGAGCCCAAGAGTCCGGGTTGGAATGAGAGATAATTGGAAACTAAATCAAAGCCATGAAGTCCCCAACTCTGTTACTCTTCCCGCCTAACTGGAACGTTCATGAGTGCAGGGATAATATAAATTGCTGGACAGTGTAAGCTCCATGAGAACAGCGCCTAGCACAAAGTAGGTGATTAATAAACATCCGTTTAATTACTAATATTAAACATTTTAAAATTAAGGACGAGCAAGAATCTTCATTCCTCCCTTCCCCCCTACATAAAGGAGAAAGGGAGGGATGTCCTTGCAGCTGGACGGACTCAGCTTTAATTTGAGACACACAGTCTTGTAGGAGATTTCTTTCTCCGGCGAGATGATTTTATTGGCTAAAACGTTAGGGGTGAGCGTTTTGGACACCGGGGTCAGAAGAGGGAGTGGGTGGAAATTTCTCAGTCTGATGCCACAGGTTAAGGTAAACGAATCTTCCTTTCTGGGGAATCTCGGATCTTAGGAGAAGGCAGAGGAGACAAGGTGAGTGGGCGTCTTCCTGGTACGGCACACCCTGAGAGGAGCGGGGATTTGTTGCCTCCTCCCGCCGGCCTCCTTGCCCCAGGGCGTCTTGAATGATCGAGCACTAGCACCGGGCTCCCTGATTGGTGCAACCATTTCTTTTAGGAAGGCTCGAGGAAGGGGCGTGGGTGGAATTCCAAGCCTAGTCTCGTAGTAAACCGCGCATTCCAAGCGTGGCAGAGAAGCTGCGCGGTGCGCAGTTTGAAAGGTTTCCTGCGCGGAGTGGGCACGCCCACCCTGCCCAGTCCTGAGCTCTGGCGCCCGGTGCTGCTGTTACCCACGCCCGCCATTCGGGATGCTTTTCCGTCCTTAAAAAGTGCCCGAGTTCTTACTGTAAGATGAAAGAGAGGGCAACAGTATTTCCTGTAGTATCAAGGGCAACGCGGTTATTTCAAACCTCACAACGAGATCCCTCGTACTAATCGAACTCCGTCTTCTCAGGGATGAATCTTCGATCTCCCTTATGGAATATTCAGTGCTTTGTAAGATTTTCGGCATCCCCACTGTGTCATGGTGAAACGCAATAAGATATTCAGAGAGAAGGGTCGGGACTCCGGTGGGCCAGCAAGGCCGCAGACGTGTCCATATATAACCCCTGCCTGCTGCACCGCAACAGGGAAAGGAAAAAGAAAAAAAAATCACTGCGAAAACGAGTAAAGGAATCACTGGTTACACGGTGTCACCCAGACCCAAAGATCAACTTTGTTTTGCCCTCAAGAAAAAGAAACTGAGGTAGAGGAAAGAGGAGAACAAAAATTAGAGACGAGGGTGCCTGAGGGATGGCTTGAAAAGGCCAGAGAATAAACAGCCCCGCCAGCCAGTCTAGTTGTTGGCTCTGGCGCACGAGGAAAGCCCCGGCCAGCATAGGGCCTCTCGGTCTCTGGCTGCCTAGCGCCATCTGGTGGAAATTTTTCCGTGAACGTCTTTTTACCGTGAGGGGCTTTCCGAACCAGGCAGTTCGTTAAATACGTTTAAATATTGCAAAAGGAGAATTCATAAAAAGCATGAAATCGAAGGGGGAGTGGAGGGGAGTGGGTCTAGGCATAGAGGGCCGGTCCGCTCCCCCCACCCCACCCCCAGGACACCTCTATGCTCGGGTTCCCCTTGTGTGTGGAGCGGCACTCGTGCGTGTTATTAACCTTCAGATATGATCAATCAGGAGGACTCCTTTCCCCATCACCAAGGGAACCAAAGCTAGGAGGGAGCGTACAGGGGGTTGGAAATCGGACCCTTTTCTCTGCGGAGGCAGTGGGTAGCTGAGCTCAGATGAAGTACTTGGGGAGGCTCTGAGCTGGATGAGGAAACTGAAATGAAAAGGAGATGGAATCCTCTAGGGTCTGAGTGTTCCCCCCTCGTCTCTGCCTTCTTTGCTTTCACGACAATCCTGGCTCAGTAGAGAGCCAGCAAGGACACGACCCAGAACGCGGTTTCGCTCAAGGAGGCATCGTGGGGTCGTAGAGCTGGAGGAACCGCGGGGAGAGTAATTGAGGCAAAGCTACTGCTCTTGTCTTCTCGAAGATATGGTAGTGGGGGAGAAGAAAGGGAGGGAGAAGCGCTCAGCGAGGCAGAATTCTTCATAGAAATTCTCTCTTGCCTCGCTTTACCCGACACTCTGCCTATTTCAAAAAATAGAGCGTGTTGAGTACGGTCTGGATTACTCATAGGGCTCTTTCTTTTTCTTTCTTTCTCTTTCTTTCTTGCTTTCTTTCTTTCTTCCTTTTTTTTTTTTTTCCGGGCGCAAACCCGTGATCTGGATTTATAATCGCCCTACAAAGCTCCAGAGGCGGTCAGGCACCTGCAAGGAGCCCCACCGCTCTGCCGAGCTGCCCCCGCAAGCAGCGGCCTCGTGATTCCCCTGCTGAGCCGGTCCCCGCCTCCCCACTCCGCCTCCGCCTCCCCCGAAGCCAAGAAGCCGCCTCTTCGGATTGCTCTTTTCTCTTCCTGGAGCTCCCGTGCGGGACGGTGCTAGCGAAACAGAGGCGGCAGCTGGAGGTGACGCCGGGCAGATTACGCCTGTGGCAGAGCCGGGCCGAGCCGGGCGGATTGCTGGGCGCTACGCAGAAGAGCGACCGGAGCGCACGGCTTGCTGTCTCCCAACCTAGGTGGGTAAGCGCGCGGCTGCCCGTACCTTCCCAGTACCCAGCCGCGACTGTTAGCTGGGTCCTCTTCACCCGCGGTTTCTTGACCAATCCCCACCCCAGTGTCTGCCATCTACCCTCCCGAGATGAGTGCGTCCCACCCGCCCCAGTCCTGACTCTCCGTTCCTGCACGGCGCAGAGACCTCAGCCTTCTCAATCATCCTATCCCCATCAGCGAGATTCATGCCCCGGGGACGCACAGAGGCTGAGGCTCGCGCAGAAGTGGAGCGAGAGCGATTTTCCCCTCCGCTTCCCGGCTGCGAGTGCCGGTCTCACCAATGGGCTCCTGGCCAGCAGCAGCCGAAGGCGCGACTCAGAGCGGTAACCTGTTACTTCCCCAGAAGCCCTGGCCTCCCCGCTGCCTGCTCTGATGGGCGAGTGCGCGCGCGGAGCTAGATGCGGAGTCCTATGCAGGGTCTGGAGGCCGTGGCCGGCGGGCGCTACTCTGCAGGCTCTTAGATGTACCCAGATTCGCCCGCACTCTCTGTCCCCTGGCCTTCGGAAGCCATCGCACCAGCGCCGAGCGCGGAGCAGGGGCGCCGCGCACCTATCCTTGTCTGCCACCTCTCGCGCGCTGGGCGCAAGTTCGTTTCCCCGGTGACGTTCCCCTTTCTTGCCTCTCTCACCCTCTCCGGGTCTGTACAGCGAGAAATCCGGGGACCTCAGAGAGTTGGGTGGAGAGGAAATACAGAAACAACGATAGAGCCCCGTTCTTGGCTTCGAGATGACTCAAAGCGGGTGGGGCAAGAGGGAGACAAGCGAGGTTCCGACTCGCTGCTTTCTGGCTGTCTGGACTACAAGGTGACTGTATTTCTACCCCAGCCAAGTGCGAGGGAGAACGTAAAGACATGGACCCTTTTTTCCTTCTCACCTTGTCTCACCAAAGTCCCCGGTCCCCGGAGCAGTTAGCCTCCTTCTTTCCAGGGAATCAGCCAGACACAACAAGGGGAACCAGACACCGAACCAGACGTGCCCGCCCCGTGCGCCCTCCTCCCCCGCAACACCCGCCTGCCCGCCCGCCCGCCGACTGCTGAGAGCCCAGTAGTGCTTGTCGCGGCTAGGCTGGAAAACCGCGCACTGAGCCTCCCTAGCCCTCCTAGCCCAGTCCCCCGCACCCGCGCGACCTGCACTGGCCTTGGGCTCCTCTAGTCTCAGCGCTGCGCTCCAGGTCGCCCCGCCGCCAGACTGGAGAGCCACCCCGGGCTACGTTGCGGGCGCCCGAGTCCCCAGCTCGCGTGCACGTCTCTTCCTCCCCCCGTCCCCAGCCCGGCGCACCCCGACCCAGCCCGCTGGCTGCCGTTCCTCTAGCCTCTCTCTCCTGAGCCCGGACTTAAGCGGGAGCGTCCGCGCCCCCGACCGCTCAATCGCCTCCCGCGCGCCGGACCCCTGAATCCCTCCCCGTGCAGCTCTCGCTTCTCTTTGCAGCCTGTTCCTAAGCCCGGCTGGCCGAGGACCCCGGACAGCAGAGGACCGGGGACAACCGAGCAGATGGCGTCTTCGACCCCTTCTTCGTCCGCAACCTCCTCGAACGCGGGAGCGGACCCCAATACTACCAACCTGCGCCCCACAAGTAGGTCCTGCTCCAGTGTCCTATCAAATGGACTGCGTGGAAGATGGGGGCGCTGGGACGTGAGGAGGCTGCGCTGGCAGAAAGGGAAGGGGGAGCGCGGAGATGATGGAGGCTAGAAAGAAATGGGGCCCTGACCCAGGTCCCGACCAAAGGTCGTTCGACTGCCAGGGATGCTAGGCGATTCCAGGGCGCTAAGGCAGTGGGAACCACGCAGGGTCGGAGCGGTGGCGATCCTTGGAGGCTTCGCTGCGGGGGAAGGACGCGCGGCGAGAGTGTTGTTTTTGTTGTGTTGTGTGTGGTTTCTTTGCTAGGTGGGACGACGGGGGTCAGCGCAAGGGGCGGTGTGAGGAGCTGGGAGTCTCAGCGGGAATAGAGCCTTCTGTCTTCAGCTTTCGTTGAGCCGAGATCTGACCCCTCCCCCCTCCTTTACCCCTGCATTGTGCTCGAACTCTATAATCAGCGGAAATTTCGACGTTAATTGCAGCTTTTAGAAAACTCGGGGTCCCTAATTGCTCCAAATTTGCGTCGAGCTGTTGACGAGTGAGGAAGAAGCCAGGGGCGAGAAAGGAGCATAAAATGGTTTGAGATTAAGCCTCGACATTTTAGACAATTAATTACATTTCAGAGACAAAAAAAAAAAAAAAAAAGCGGGCAGCATCCTGAGTGGCAAGAAGTGGGGAACCAGGAAGAGTCCAGAAGGTTTGCCAGGGCGGTAGGAGAGAGCAGCCCTCTCTTTTCTCCAGGGCAGGAGACCTGTCAGCGATGAACACCTCTGGAAGAGAGAGGAAGAAAAGGGGAACCAGATAAAAGCGGGTGGGGAGATGTATGCTTCCCCACCCCTAGCTCCATGCGGCGACTCAACCCATTTCCGGAATCTGTCTTTAATTCGGATTGATTTCCAGCATCTTTGTAGAGATGTGGAGATGGGGGAATTGTTTTCCTTTTTCCACTTTGGATGGAAATGCGCTCCCTCCAAATCCATGAGCTCCGGATAGTAACGGCCCCAGAATTTCTATATAAAAGGGCTTAGGGATGGCATTGTGGTTAGAAGGAGGGCTCATTGCTTCGCTTTTATAGCACTTTCTATAAGCTTGAGAAAACATCAATTGTTCCCCAACGAAGGTTGGCGCAGGGGGGCATCAGGTAAGCCCTCTATCCAACCCCTAGGTGCTGCCCTTGGCTTCCCGGCTGGAGGCCTTCTCTTAAATTCTTAGGCGGCGTTCCAGTTCCCTTTGCAGCTCCCTCCCCCAGCCCCCCAGGCTAGCTACAATTACCCACACAACAAAGAGGGGCTCAGGAGAGCCGCCAGCCTTGGTGGCGCGAGAGCTGGGCACTGGCTACCAGAGCTGGTCGGACCAGGCCAAGAGAAACGGGAGGCCTGCGCGCCTTTGTCTGTTGCTCTGGCCCTGATGGATTTCTTTTCCAGTTCTCTCCACATTTCCTGCCCCTTTCTTTGCTGTCTGGCAGGGGTGGGCGGCCGTTGTGTTCACCCACCCTCGAGTCCTGAACCCCTACTGCGCCCCTACTTCCCAGAGGCAGCCAGCAGCGGAGCCCATGTGCCCAACCGCGGGTCCCAGACCCAGCAGAGGAGCTGACCCGAGTTCGCTCATGGCCGGGCGTGCCCGGAATTCGCCAGGGCGGAGGGAAGATAGCCGAGAACTGGGCCCAGGAAAAGCCTGCAGCACCTGTCCTGAGAACGCCGCCGTCGGCCCCGACAGCCCAGCCGCCGTGAGCATTCTAGGCTGTGCGGCGCACGCCTGGCTCTCCACCCATCCTTGCCCTCCCTTGCAGACACATCCTCGCCCGCCCAGCTGGCTCTGCTTCTCTGCCCCGCCAGGGTCTCCTGGGAGGTGGCGTTGCTCAATTCGCACAACCTTACTCGACCTCTTGCGCCGGGGACGCCTCCTCCTTGTTCTCAGCCACTCGGTCTTCCCTACTCTGGCTACGTCAAAGGATCTCTCTCACTACCTCTTCCCATCTCTCTTTCCCTTTCTTTCACTGCAATCCCCAACTCTAAAAGGCAGTGCCATGGGTCTGAACTCCAACGCCACAGCTGAGTGACCTTGGAAAACTCTCCTAGCCTCTCTGAGCTTCAGTGTTTTTATTTGTAAAGTGAGTCTTAGATTAACACTCCTCTTGCTTCCTAGGGTTATGAGGATTAGGTGAGATGGCGTTTAAAATGAAAGCACTCTATCGGATGAAAATAGCTCTTTACCTGCCAGGCATTTTTATTAGGGTTTAGCTTTCGCCCCGATTTACTACTGTCTGTTGCAGGAACTCCATCTGTGACACGCTCTCTCATTGACGTCGGGCTAGTTCTTCTCCCCGCTGGGGCTCTGTTGTGCCTCGGGTTTAATGGATGTCACTCTCCTTATCGCAGCAAACACTCGCGCCCGGCTGAAGGCACTGGACCGGATGGGGTGGGGGATGGGAGTGATTGGAGGGCCTTGCTATGAGGAATCCGAGGGGAATTTCAGGCTAGGCCCACTACACCGGCTCGCATGCAGGCTCTGCAGACACCGCCGTGCTTCTGGCTGGAAGTTGAACCCCGAGGGCAGGATAGACGCTGAGGAGTTTGAGAACACGGCAGCGCCTGAATCTGCGATTCAGACCTGGAGAAAAAGTGTCTGATTCCCTTCGCCTTCGCCTGCTCCAGATCCGAGACGTCCGAGGGAAGGGTTAATGAGGGGCATGTTGGGAAGAGGGGGCAGGGGATGAGAGACCCGAGGCGCACTATTGTCTTGCCGACTCCCCGGTTCCACTGAAGAGCGGCCATGCCAGCCCGACCATCTAGTCAAATACTATTTTTCACCCAATTAATTCCTGAACTCTTCCGCGACCCCATTTCATGCCAGTTTATTTTAAGCTGCCACTCAGCTGGAGACCCGCCAAGAAATTATGAGATGTGTTGGTCCCAGATGTCTCTGTGTTCCCTTTCCCAGCCGCTGTGGTCGCCCTTCGAGTCTGCGGGGCGGAAACCAAGGGACAGGGCCTGCGGGTGGGTGTTGGGCAACTCGAGGAGCCGGGCCTGGCCCTTTGCACCTGTGGTCAGCCCTGTTCCACTCCGACCCCGCCTTGGCGGCTACCCCATCGTGGTCGCTGGGAGCCGCGGGTGGGGCGCTGGGTGCGTGGCCTCTCAGAGACACTGTTCTGTACCTGAGGTCGGAGCAGGAAGGGACTGTGATGGGGTCTCGGGGGGCACGAGTCTCCCCGTCGGCCCAAAGATCTGGCTCTTAGCTCCTTTCGGGAAAGAGCTTTTTAATGAGGCGCACTGGCGAAGACCTGCCCCTACCTCCCCAGAAAACCTTTGCCCTCGACCGGGTGCCGGACTGTCGAGCCTCACTGATCGCACGTCTCTTGGTTTCTAGCGTATGACACCTGGTGCGGCGTGGCCCACGGATGCACCAGAAAACTGGGGCTGAAGATCTGTGGTAAGTGAAAGGGCCGGCTGGGGCCCCAAAGGGGCTGCGAGGCGAGCGGGCTTTGCGGGTTTGGGAGAGTGGGACGTACGCGGAAGGGAATCCTGGCTCTTGGGTCTGTTTTCTAGTGTCTACAGCCCCTACGCCCGGCAGAGACGCTCCTCTACTGGCCTTGACCTTCCTCTGCCCTCTCCTGACGTGCCCCCGAGGGACCTTTTCCGATGGGGGGCCCTGGGCTACTTGAGACCTCGGGGCTCCCCTAGCTGGGCGCGAGCACAGCGCCCCCGCGCGACAGCCCCGCTCATCTTGCCCGGCGCTTTGGCTGTTCTGACCCAGGCGCTCTGCCTACGCGACGCGAAGGCGGCATAAAAAGGGTCCGGGTTTACTGGAGAGCAGGCCCAAGGCGAGACATCCGCCTTAGACGGTAGCTGGCGCGTCGTATTCCTTCCCTCTCCACATATCGCGCGTTGAAAGTGGCTTCCTCGGGGGGGATATTTTTGCCCGAGATGTCAAAACGGATTCAGATTTCGTTCTTTGAGGCCTTGGAGGCCAAGAGAATGGATTGCCTGCAGCCCTCGGTGGCCTACCTGGAGGAGGTGCGGGTGATGCAAGCTAGAGGGTTTGAGGAGCTTGCCCTTGAAGGAGAGGAGGGAAGGGAAAGGGGGCAGAGGGGGCGTGGGGCCGCAAGACGGAAAGTGGGTATCGGGCACGATTTGCTAGAGAGGAAGGAAAATAGATCTGGGAGCTGGACGGGAGAAAGAACTGCTCTCCGGAGACGTAAGGATCTAAAATGAAAACGCCCAAGGGCTGTAATTTTTTTTTTTTTTTAAGGAAAAAGGGAGATTTGTTCGAAGGGACACAGCTGAGTGGCTCCGGCTGAACAATGAGAACTTGCTTTCCTTGCTACATTTCACCGTCTAAAATTTCTAGCCTTATCGGGCCAGAAAATACGGACGTCCCCGGTCAGGGGGTGGAGAGGCGGGGTAAGATTAACGAGGGGCTTATTAAAAGGTCATCCGTCAGCTGCTGCGCGCTGGAGATAGTGGCGGCGCAGGCGTAGGCACGCCCGCTCAGCCCCGGGAGCGCCCGAGAGTGGGCCGGCGAGCCGCTGGCCTCCGGGCCTGATCTTCCCAGGTGCCCTGCAACCCGGGGCCCCAGGGAGGTGAGAGTTTGTGGCCGGAGCGAGAGGAGTTACTTGGCAGCTTTTGGGAGTCACCCTCCCTTCCCCGCCTTGCGGCGCGGCGCCCTCCCTGCGTTTCTGGGGCTCTGTCCCCTTGATCCCAGAAGCAGCTTTACGGTGAGGAAGGGTTGCTCGACTCCAGGACCTAGACGTTTTGCAGGGAAAGCCCAGCCCTGCGGCGGGGAGGCCCCGGGGTTTGGCCCTCTCCCCAGCACGCGAGGCCCGCGGGGCGAGGCCTGGGCCGCGTCCCCGCGCGGGGGCAGCTGGCGGCAGCCGAGCTTTGTTCTATAAATAGCCCCCTTCTCCCAGCCGCCATTCCCGGCTTAATGGCCCATTTCGCGCCAGGTCCCTTCGGCGGCCGCGGCGCTCGGCTTCAGCAGCCGTCATTGTCATGCAGCCGGGCAAGCAGAACTGAGCAAGCCCTGGGCGCCCGCCACGGTCGAGGACAGGGTCGGGGGAGGCTTGGGGTGAGGGCTGCTTTCCTCGCGGTCCTAGGCCTGCCTAGCCAGCGGCCTTCATCCATCCCCATCCATGCTTCCCGGCCTCGGCCCTGGGCGGTGCCCCCTGCTGCCCCGACTGCAGACCCTCAGGGTCGGGGGAGAAGAGAAGGTCTAAACGCCACTTCGGGGACACATCCGAAGTGACCCGAAAAGGTAAAGGGGCAGGAGCATCCCTGGGTCCGGGAATAGATGTCCAGGCACAGGGGTACGGGAATTGGGGAATAGAGGTTTGCATTAGCTTCCCCTGAGGGAGAGCTCTTGGGCGGAGAGCTCTTGGGCATTTGGGGGTTACCATCCTCAGGGAGTTTCTTCTCTGTTTTTACCCACCTCCCCAACATTAATTTCAGGAAAGCTGAAACACCTGTGACAGGAGAGGGCTGGTAGTGTGTTGAGGGGAAATTGCCTTCTGCTAATACACATGCTTTGGGGGCTACAGGTTAGGAGGATTTACAATAGGTTTGATTCTGAAAGGAAACAAAACAACAGGAGGATTTGTTTTCCATACTTTACGCCAACTCTGGCTTTCCATTTTAGTCTAGTTACCGGAGGCAAAGTGCAGTCTTTGGTTTTGACTTGAATCCACAGACCCCTCCCCTCCCCCACACACAGATTCCCCCACTCCCTTCATCCCAGACCTTCACGGGCTTGAAAGATGCCCTCTTGACCTGACACTCTCCAGGTTGGTTTGACCTTTCACCTTAAGAGAGTTGAGGGACTAATGGTCATCTTCTCACTTCCAGATCCATTGCCCTGGGGGACCCATCCATTGCCCTTGCCAAGATTCCACCCCACCCCCTCTCCTACCCCCTCTCCTGGATCCTCCCCCCTCCCCCCAAGACAAAGCTGCAAGGAAGGCTCCTGGTCTCACCAGTGTAACCCTTAGCTCCGGAGGCAGAATCCTGTGGGAAAGCAGTCAGCCAGAAGACACCCAGGGTCTTGCCAAGAGGTAGAGAGCCGGGTGGCTACAGGCATGATAGCATGACCTAAATCGAAGGAGATGCAGGGAGCCCTAAGTTCTGGCTCTGGGCTCTGCTAACTTCCCAGTGTGTCCTTGGGCCTCAATCACTTCTGTATTCAGAGGTCCCAGACTGGCTGCCAGTTACAGCCCCTGAGGTGTTTTATTTAGCCCATGCAGTGTGTGTGTTTGTGTGTTTAATTTTGTGTCAGTCACCAACTTTTAAATATACATTTCAAATATTCTGTATTTATTATGGCTTCTCTTGAAATTAAAAAAAAAAGTTTGAGGTGGGGGAGAGATCTGGCAGGGTACTTATAGCCCAGAAAAATCAGGAAAAGAGCCCCTTCCTCTAGGGAGATGCAACTCCATGCTACAGCTTGGTGAGAGACAGCAAGGGGGTTGGGCTTCAAGCCTCACTTGCCCCCTTGGCCAGGTGCCCTTATGCCAGGCTCAGTTTGAAACCCCACTTGGAAACAACCAGCTTGAACCAGGTGCTCTAGTTCCTCACACCTCCCCCCCCCTCACAGGGTTGAGTAGGCCTTTGAGTTTGGGGGCAGCTGTGAGGACCAGCCGCAGGATCGCCCCTCGGCTCATAGGTGGAAGCTAGCCAGGGTGCTACGACCGGGCCAAAGCTCACCGCAGCTTCGGCTCCCCTCCGCTTGCCTCTTTGCCTCTTAAGAATGTTCAGCTAAGTTACCTTAAACTAGGTCCTTATAGCTGAGGTATAGAGCAAAAGGGAGTACAGTCTGCTTTAGTCTCAGGGACCTCTGCTTCCAGGACCCCTTGCTAGCCAGGGAGGTCATCAAAGCACTGACCTCAATGTCATCCACCACCTCATTATCCTTGGAGAAGCATACGAACTTCCAGAGCCTCTTAGAGCCCAGAGAGGCCCGGCTCCTTGACCTTATTTTTGAGGCTCCCAATATTTTAGAGAACAAATACCTTCCAAAAAAGTGATATTCCAAAAATAATATCCATTAAGTGTTTATATTAGCAAATGGTTTTTAACACAAATTATAATGCAATATAAGTGTGCTTTGCATAGCATAGCTATAAGATGTATAGAAAACACTAATTCCTTGTGCACTCCAGGAAGTGTGGTCCAGGAAGGGGATGCAGGTTTAAAGTGTCGTGATTGGCATCTTTCATTCCTATCAGGACACCTCTGGGAATGCCTGTGAGAAGAACTCCTTTGGAGATAATATCCAAAGCCCAAATGCAGGTCCTAGGTCCTTTCCCACCTAGGAAGGGAGTTGCTAAGGGGTTTCAAGGCAGAGACTTTCCCAGGGAGTGAGTCAAAACCGACCAGGGGTCAGAGACCTAAAGAGCAGGAGTTCAGCTAGGCAAGACCTCACCTCCATTAGGGCATGTGGACTTGGTCTTTTCAGCCTGCCTGAAACAAATTCCACTGCTGCCTGTTTGGGTGGAGGGGGGCAGTCTCACTCAGGACGCAGGTGATACTGCATCCCTCTGGCAAATGAGTGCTAGCTTCTCATTTTGGACTCTGGGGATTTGGAGGAGGAATTCAGAAAGTAGGAGCAGAGGTGAAGGGGAGGATGCACCCCCCATCTTTATATCCAAGTGTGGAGCTCTATTATAGTGTATTTCCCCCCTTCTGATGTCCTTTAGAGCTTTAGTGATAAGTTTTAAAGGTGCTAAGAACAATGAAAGGCCTGGTGCCTCTGCCTTCCTATTCTTCCCTCCAAAAATAGACCCTGCTTCTGTGTGTGGGAGGATTCTAATCACTGCAACTTTCCCCCTGCACCCCTCCTTCCTCCACCCCTCAACACTGAATTGCAGTCCTGGGGAAGTAAAGCTGAATTCCCCAGATTAACTTGCCTCTCGTGGAACCTCCCAGGACTTTCCTCCAAGCCTGCCTTGTGACGTATGTGACTCCCCAAGGATCTGGGTAGCTACAAATACAGCTTTGGGGTCACCAAGAAGCTTAGAACTTTCTTCCTCTTTTCAGGGTGTTGCATTTCAGACTAAGATTGAGGCTGAATTGGAGGAGCTGCTGAGGGAAGGAGCGGGTCCGCGGGTCCCAAGCACCAGATGGGACAGGTGGAGGTACTGAGAGAGGAAGTGTGCTCCTGGTTGGCAGAGCCTCAGCCCTTTCAGCTCAGCCTTCTTCTGGGTTTGCCACTGGTAGTGTTTGCACTGCTCAACTCAGGCAGGAGAGATTTCCACTCCTTCTGAGGGGCAGGGAGGAGGTGCTTTGACTCCCACCCTGGGCTCAGAGTTCATCTCTGTGGAGTTCTTGGATGGCTGTCTAGCTTTATTACATTGTTGGTCACCATCTGCCAGTCTGCAAGCTCCTGGAGAAGAGGGGATCTGTCTCATTTATCTTTATCTGTCCCTGGTCCTAAATGCTTAGTAAAGTCCTTTTCCACAATAGGTGCTCAATAAGTGTTTATGGAATTAAATGTCGCCACACATAAGATTTTAGGCTTTCTTGTCTCTTTCTCCAATACCTTTATTTAAGGAGAGGGTGTGGTACAGGGAAAGCTGCCCTTCAGTTTTGGGTGAGAAAAATTAAACTTACATTCAACCCTGGTAGCATTTACCTGGAGTCCAAGGAAAGCATCTTCCCCAATCCTCAGTGCTGGTCTCACCCCCTCCTCCCTCTGGTTGCATCGCCCGTAAACCCAGAGCTGGCAGCATCCTCTCCGTTTGTGTCCCTTCCCTTAAAGCCCCATCCTGGGGCTGGTTACTGGAGTGGAAGCTGTCCAACTGACTTAATTCTGCATTCACTGTCATGTTGAGAGAGGAGAATGGGCTTCACATACTGTTTTTCTCTCTTGCATGACTGGGTCTGTGCCACTGATGACACTTGGTACTGCCCCCGCCCCGCCTGGAGGCGAGCAGTGCCAGAGCCCTTACATATAAAACAGACACTCGGCTTCCATTCGGGAAAAGTGAGAACCCTGCTTGGAGAGTCGACCTGAGCCAGCAGCAGACCCTCCGAGGCTGGGAGTTTGGTGCCCTTCCTCTGACCCAGCTTCTTGTGCTACAGGCTTCTTGCAAAGGACCAACAGCCTGGAAGAGAAGAGCAGGCTTGTGAGCGCCTTCAAGGAGAGGCAGTCCTCCAAGAATCTGCTTTCCTGTGAAAACAGTGACAGGGATGGCCGCTTCCAGCGCACAGAGACCGACTTCTCCAACCTGTTTGCTCGAGGTAGTCCCCACCCCCAGCCCTAGTGCTATCCAGTAGGTTGCTTATTGGAGTTTCTTTACTTTTTCCTGAAACCTTGCTTCTTTTACAAGAAAAAGCCATTATTCTCTCTGAACCATCATGAAACTGCTTTCCCAACATTTGAATATAATATACTCCCTCCTTCCCTATTGCCCAGGTCTCCATCATTTGAAAGCTGGATGAGGGCAATCCGTAAAACAGCCAACTCTAAAGATACTTGCAGGACGAATACACAGTCAGAGAATCTCAGAATCCAAAGAAATCTTTCATATAAGAAAATCCAGCTATTCCCTCCATAGCATTTATCCTCCAAGGGTGGTGCCCACAACAGCAAAAGCACCCTGTAGGAAGCTGTGTAGCTGGGCCTCATGACCAAGTGCTGTCCTGAAGGTCATTTTCCTTTTGAAGATTTTTCACTCATTACCGCTGCCCCTACAACAACGGTCTCAGGAGGTGCTTTCCCAGTCTTTCCTGACCAGCACAAAGGTAAACCCACCCCCCTCCCCCTTCCGTGAACTCCCCACAAGCCATGGAGGCCAAACCAGAACAGTAAACAAGATTCACTAAACCTTGGAGAGATAATCCAAAGAATAGACACAGAGCATCATATACAGCCAGTCTGTTCTTGAGCTATGGCTGACAACTTCATTTGGGGCCCCCTACAGCTTTCCCCCCTGGCTACCCCCCAGCCTGACTCTACCTAACACAGGCCAGAACCCAGAGTCACCCTCTGGCATCCCAGAGGCCAAGCCCTAAAAGGTAAGGTCAAGAGAGGGGCAGGAGTTCCCTCTCCCACCTTCCTGAGCCCCACTTTCCAGTTCTAGTTTTCTGTCCAAGGACAACATAAAGAACCATCCTCTTCGGTGTGACCTCAGCCTCTACCCACAGAAGCCTCACCCGCCACCAGCAACAGATCAAGCACATCATAACACCAAACCGAAAGCCCAGTATCTGAGCCAGATGTACAGAGACACACCTGGTACTAGGGGAGCAAGACAGATGCCCCGTCCATCACACGCCTGACAGGTGCCCAAATGGATAACTGCAGGGGAGGCTGCTCGTGACTTCTCAAAGCGTTTCAATTAAGAGCAGCCTAACTATCAGAAACTCTGTGAACCCCCAGAGAATATATGCAGCGCTTCTGTGTATACGCCGATGTACATTGTTCTGGGGAGATGGTACATCAGATTCTCAATGCATGCATATCCTGGAAGAAAATCAGTCCTGTAAAGATACGGATATTAGGGAGTTCTAAGCTGACTGAGGAAATCCGGATAGGAGTCAGGTGATAACCCCTCATGGGCTTCCCCCCACCAGATCTGCTTCCAGCTAAGAATGGGGAGGAGCAAACTGTGCAGTTCCTGCTGGAGGTGGTAGACATACTCCTCAACTACGTCCGCAAGACATTCGATCGCTCCACCAAGGTGCTGGACTTCCACCACCCCCACCAGCTGCTGGAAGGCATGGAGGGCTTCAACCTGGAACTCTCTGACCACCCTGAGTCCCTGGAGCAGATCCTGGTTGACTGCAGAGACACCCTGAAATATGGCGTCCGCACAGGTAAGGGTGAGAGCCAGGTGGACACGCAGTGGCAATCTTGGCCTGCGTCAGACCTTTGCCAATTGCCAGGATGTCAAAGTCATGTTGAAGGAGAAACACAAACCAGGGTGAAGGAAGGCAGCAAAGCGCTCCATGACCTCAGAACCACCAGACGCAGTGACAAAATCCAATCATTATTTATTGTTGTAAAAATAGATTTAAAAGATACAGATACATGGTGCTGTGTCAAGTTCTGTATAAAGAGTTTTAATTCTTGGTTTGAGGCTATTCACAACCTAAAGAGAGCAGAATTATCCATTCTCTACTTCTTCTCCCGCTTCCATTTTCACGCCTACTTCATTCTGATAAATCCGACCCTTGCCTGTCCCTGAAACTGGGGAGGATTGGGCCCATTTCCTTTTCTTTCTGTACTAGTTTCCTAGGGCTGCCACAACCGATTACCACAAACTGGGTGACTTAAGACAACAGAAATTTATTATCTCACAGTTCTGGAGGCTAAAAGTTCAAAATCAAGGTGTCTGCAGGGCCATGCTCTCTCTGAAGACTCTTGGGAAGGAGCCATCCCTGCCTCTTCCAGCTTCTGATGGTTGTGGGAATTCCTTGGCATTCCTTGGCTTGTAGATGCATCCCTCCAATCTTTGCCTTCATCTTCACATGACATTTTCCAAGAGTCTGTGTCCAGGTTTCTCTCCTCTTTGGATTAATGCCTACCCTAATCCAGTATGGCCTCGTCTTAACTTATTTACATCCACAAAGACCCTATTTCCAAATAAAGTCACAGGAATCAGGGGTTAACACTTGAACATATCTCTTACAGGACACAATTCAACCCCCCACACCCTCTATTTGCTAGGCCCAAAAGCCACACACTTACACACCCTTTGCATTCTACTCCATCCTCTGGAGTTCAGGTATCCTGAGGCACCAAATCCTATCTCCAACAGGGAGCCCTGGAGGACGCCCTCTTGCCTCCTTTCCATGTTATAGGAACTCTCTCTACTCAGCAATCCTGGCCAAGTGGTTACTCTCCAGTTGCCTCAAGTTCAAGGACTTTTGGGATCTCTGTCTGGCTCTTTCTAAGCCTAGGGATCAAGCAGTGGTTTCTTCTCCCTACCGTCTTTCCCCACTGCAGCCTGGCTCTCCTGAGCCCTTGGGCAGACTGATGTACAGGAATCGGCAGTCCATAGCATGGTTGTCCCCACAGAGGAGCCCCTGAGGCCATGACTGGTAGCCTCTTGTTCTTTTTTCTTTCTCTCTCTCTCCTTTATTATCCTGCTCACTCTTCCTAGGCATTTGAAGATATGACTGGGGAGGCTGTCGTGATAGGACTGAGTAAGGCTATTGGATGTCAAAAACAAGGGTTATAATGAAATAATGAGGCTGGCCAAAGAGGCATTTTTAAATAATGAATCCCAAACAGCTTTTAAAGTCTGCCAACGCCACTGGTATAGGTGTAGCTTTCTTGAATCACTGCAAGATGGACAAGACTCAATTATATTACAAAGTCTGTGTTTGATTTTTAAAGAAAAACATGCTCATCAATTTAGTTACATCTCACCTTGGTCTGATGGCTAATCTGTTCCTGGTGGAGATCAAGTTGTTATTTGGCTAGGAAAAAAAACAGAGTTCTCTGTGTATGTTTTAGCTTGACTAGCTTTGGTCCACTATTTTTATTTTGTCAGTTCACGCCACAAACACTTTATCAGAGAGATGAGACCACGTACGTTTATCACGAAGCTCAGAACAGTGTTGCCCCTCAAAGACAAATACATGGATTTGTCATAATAGCAACTCATATCGCCTACAGAACTGAAGTATCACGTGGTCAGAGAAGCATGGACTCTTACTAGAGTCGAGTGTGTGAATCCAATTAGATACTTAGCCTGGAGCCATTCATCCCTGTTCTTCAGAGCAGCTTCTAGAAGCAGATATTTGCATTTGTAGAGTTCATAGTCTTCAGGCAATGTGAAACCTGCATCACAGGGTGTTGACCCTGGCAAAGTGTACTGTTGCTTTCATGGCAAAACACATTTCCTAGTTGCTGGTGTGTAGTTTAGATGTAGTTACTGGAGCAATAGAGTAAACCCACAGGTATTCTGCAATGGAAGTGGAAGATATTTCTTAAGAGTATTAATGCACAGCCAGAATAATGAATAGGGTTTTGGAATGAAAACATACTGATCTGGGAAGCGTCTGTGGAGGGATGATGATGGCCTTTGGAAATTTCCCTACAAATTAACAAAGACTTCTGAAAAAGGAACCAATGTATATACATTCTCCAAGAACTCAGAGAAACGCTAGTCAGCCCTCAGTCACAGTAGACATGCTGACTTCCTTAGTTTTCCTTTTTTGAACTTTTTATCATGGAAATTTTAAACTTATACAAAAATAAAACAGGGTAATGAACCCTGTATACCCAACACCCAGCTTCAGCTATTAGTAGCTCTTGCCAGCGTTGTTTCACCTGACACCCCACCACCCACTCCCCTCTCTTCTATACTATATGGAAGCAAATCTCCAGCATAATATTATTTCATTCATAAATATTTTTTATCCTCAAGGACTCAAAAAAAACACATTATCATTGGTACATCCAAAAAAATTTATAATTTTTTAATATCACATATTCAGTCAGTGTTCAAATTTCCAGTTGTCTCATGAATGTCATAAATTTTTTATTTTGTTACAGTTTGAGTCAAGATCCACAAAAGTCCCCCACATTGCAATTGCTTAATATGTCTCTTAATCAATAAATTTCTTCCTGCATCTTTTTGTTTTTTGAAGCTTATTTGTTCAAAAATTTTACTTTAAAAAATTACTCTTTCTTTCTCTCCAACCTGACTCTAAGCCATGTGCTGCTCAGTACCACATCTATCATCTGTTAGTATTTTTGTTGACTATAGACAGTTGAAATTGAAATTTAAACTAGGTCATTTTGTTGCTTGATAGAAATTCTGGTATGAGATTTTTGGGGACATTAAGCCATAGCCATAAGAGGAAAGTAAGGTTTGGGGGGACTTTGTGTCCTTTTATATTTTAATAGACCATGAGATACTGTTTCACTTTTGTTTGAGGGTATTTGTATCAGTCTGTCTGTCTGTCCGTGTCCATCTTTTGTCTCTGCTATGCGATGTGATTTTGATACATTGTCAAATGGTGTGATTGCATTTATTTATCATTCAATCTTGTCTTAAAATGAAATGTTTGTTGTTAAAAGTTTTCAAATGGGTATTGTGTGTGTGTGTGCGTGTATATATATATACACGCACACACGTGTATGTTTATATATATGTACATACATATTTATATTTAAATGGACTTCAACAAAATTAGTTACGTTGTAGGAGATCTCATAGATTTTGTTGGCACCGAGCCGAGTAGAGCAAAATGGACCAGTTTAAGCTATTTAGAGTAATCTACATGAATGTCTGGAATCTGGCCTTGAATTTACACCAAGCTTACTGTTTATGCTTCTTTTATTCTTTCTAAAGATCAGTATTATTTTTCGAGGACTCTTGAGGTGCGGGGATCTGTATATTCTGCTATAAGAAGTCCTAGTCTAGATGTTCTGAATGAGTCCTCATCGCAAGGAGGGAAGGATATACTTCCTCAGAGAGGGGACTTAGACCAGGAACATTCCAACATTAGCTCTCTGACAGTTATTTCAGAGGCAAAAGCAATTTCCTCTGGAAACACAGCAGTCAGCACATCTTTCTAACACCAGTTCTCTGTCACACACCCCTAGATAATCTATTGCGTTGGCGCCTTCGTGTCAGCCAAGCCAAGCCTGCTGTATGGGGTTGAGTTTTTCTGTGAACGCCAAGTTGGCCAAAATTTGGCAATAATCCTGAATTTGCTGAGAACAAAGCCTGATAAAGCATAGAGTAGGTTGAAAAGGACTTTTGAGTTACATAATAATAAAAATTATTCTATCAACAACTCAATGAGTGAATGAGGCTGTGTCTGCCCCTGTTTCACAGAGCAGATGCCAGGTCATCTCAGCAGTACATCTAGTGTAACAGTCACCTGACTATATGTGGGCAAAGCACACCAATGCTTGGCATCGTATTTGACTGACACAGAGGCCCAGAGAGTGATGGCATGCCTCGGCATCAGCCTCAGAGCTGGCACTTACCCTGGGCTTGGTTCGGTTCACAGAGCCACTGACCCCTTCTGAGGCCTGCAGCCTCTCCTCCTCCCTCAGCATACCTTGATTTGGAGAATAAAGGCTTGAGGTGTTAAATTAAAAACTGAAATATTTATGGAGAAAAACAGGGCCACCACATCCAGATTTGTATTTTAAAAAATACAATAGAGGAGCTCATCTGGAAATCAACGATACTGGACAGATTACTTGTTTTATGACATTGGATTTCTTTTAATTTAAAAGCATTATGCTTTAGAAACATGTAAGTTTGGGAGACATCTTCAATGTTAAAGGCTGGTATAGGGTGGGTCAACGTGCCCTTCCTTCAGTATTCTTGGGCAGCCCTATTAGACCATGGGGATAGAGGTCCCATCACTGTGGCCTAGTGGAGTGGACCTTTTGATTTGAAGACAGCTTGAAAAATCTGGATTTGCCTTGATGCTTGTCTGTTACTTACCTCTTTAGGTCATCCTCGATTTTTCAACCAGCTCTCCACTGGATTGGATATCATTGGTTTAGCTGGCGAATGGCTGACATCAACTGCCAATACCAATATGTAAGTCCCACATATTATTTCCACGTAAGCAAACATGATGTCTGAGTATGGCTTGTTGTATTAAAAGTCCAATTCCAATGGTTCTATAATAATTTTATTACAGTTTGCCCTAGTCATCTTTTCTCTTAAAATCTTTTAGGTTTATCACAGTTCTGAGTTAAAGGTAGATACTTGATAAACTATTTTTTAATTGAATAATGCAGTTTAATAAGAGCATGGTCATAAGAAGTCATGACTCTAGCTTTCAAAGTTTAGTGTGAAACTTCATGTTAAAAGACTCCATATTTCTTAATGATATATTTAAAGAGAACATGTTCTGGGGTATAATCTTGGTCCATTTTCCCACCCAAGCATATTGCTCCTTATCATTTAGGTCATATTTTCTTCATAATTAAAGAGGCCATAAAGCCACAAACCAATTTGATCAGCCTATTGTTCAACTAAAAATTCTAAAACAATTCATGTAGTGATATCCCTTTGAAAGGAATTATATATCCCTTTCAAAATAACTTTTTCTGAATGTGAAATTTTTTCATACTTGAGTAGGCAAAGCCTTTGTTTGTTTCTAAGTTCTTGTAAATTTATTTGAAACTGGCTCTAAGGTCCTGGCAGTAGGAGGGTTGTGTGTGCAAGTAATACCTGGGTAGTCTTCTGGTAATCACCCCACAGTTTCTTCTACACACAACGTGCCATCTTTGGAGACAAGGACAGGTTACAAGTTGATGGAGGGGCATCATAGCTTACTAAGTACTGTCTTTTCTTTTAACGCTAAGATAATGTTTTACCACTCTCTATGTATCCAGACAGTGGTACCACATTCTATGAAAGTGTCCAGAGGGAAATAATAAAACAAGGTTATCGCAATAAGTTAAAAATAACTACATAAGAATTATATGGGTTTTAGTCACTGTGGAAATATTTGGAAAATAACCGTACACTTTTTAGTTCATGGTAAAGTAGATTTGAAAAATGAATTTAGGTGAAAGGGTGGTATTATTTAAAATGAGAAATTCCATTTGACGTCAAGATAGAATGTAAGTTATTAAAGTTCAAGGTATTCTATTTTTCTCAAACTACTGCCAGCCACAGAACCTGAAAGGGCATTTTAAACTTATATATTGATTTGTGTGTGTTCCAAAGCTGTTTAATGCTGTGACTCAAAATACTTAACTACATTCAGAAAAGTTTCTATTCATTAAGGCCTCCTACTTTGTTTGCTAATGTAAAACAACAACATTTAAAAAGCAAATGTGACAAGTGAAACCATTAGTGCTAAAAGATTAAATTGATTGAAGTCAAATGGTTTTCCTGCTCCCTACTTGCAGGTCAAGGTTAACTTCACAGAATGTTCATGTTGGATCACTGAGGCTCTGAAGGGCTGGGAGGAATTCAGGTCAAAGATACAATCACCTGTATGATCTCCTCAACAAAAAACTCCCCTTTGCAGTCTTTATGTTTATGGTTTGTGAGATAAAAATATATCAGCAAGCATAGACATCATAATATATTAATTATAACTTGAAAAAAGACAGTAATGTTTAACTGAAACATCTCACACTAAGGAATGATTTTAATTAGAAAGTACAGCTTTAAAAAAAACTTAACTATTTAGAAAATAAATGAGAAAAATAGAGTAAAAGGTACATACTCATTAAGGCCCAAGTACCCTTATTAATATAGGCACCAAATTCACCCAGTGTCTTTAAGTATGTATTCTGTAGGCCTCTCAGCTGTGATTTCCTAATATATATATCTCAGTCTCATGGTAAATAAAAGGAATTCACCCCGTTGAACCATTTATGACCACGTAGTCTCCTAAAAGACTTTTCTTTAACCAGGGAAATCTCACAAATTTTCCTTTTTTTTTTTTTTTTGTATATGTTCATAAAATGAAAGTCCCTTACTCTTCCCTTACCTCAGCTCAGCCATATGAAACGCTAAAGTATTGTCCCACCATCTGAGGTCAAGGCCAGTCCAACTAAATGGCACATAGTAATTGCAGCTGTACTGAACAGTGGATATTTATAAAATATGATCCGATTCCAACAGATCGATAGCAAAGGTTATTTAAAATACTGAAATAGTTTCTGTCAGTTCTAGAGACAAGGCATTGTCTGAAGAAGTAATAACTATAATCTAGAAATTGTTCTAAGCCAGTTCCCCTGGAAGCTCATGAAATGTGGCAGCACTGTCAGGAGCTTATGCAGAAATTTGCTCCCTTGTGACAAGTCCTTCTGCAGCTGGGAACAGTGTTCGTAATAGGCCTGGGAAAGAATGGCAAAAGGATCTTTTTTGGCAGCGTAGGATTTAATTAGTGATACACTCGTTTTTTGGACCTGTACTTCATCGAGTTTGGATGGCACTGGTAATAGAGAATAATAACTACATTGCTCAGTATACTCTCCCTAAAAGAACTGTCCAATATTTTAATCCAAGTGGCAAAGTGTAAGGTATCTGATGGTTAGAATAGAAGGAACATTTATGCCCATGCTTTCACACCCACCTGTGCATTCAGCTTTGAGATATATTCTTCCAAGCTAGGACTCGGTGAAGATGCAAAGAAACCGTCACCAATGTGTAGTTGGCCATGGCATGTACAGCTCTTTTCTTCCAAAACACGGGCACCGAGCAGGTGTAAACAACAGCCTGCCCTCAAGCACCTGACGATAATACATAATCCTAGTGGCAAGATCTATCACAGCCCTTTGTTATGAGGTTATGATTTCAAGTATCTAGCACTTTATTTTCATAGAAATTACACAGGAGAAATTTTCTATGGGGGTTATCAGTCATTTTACACTAGTAGGCAGGTTGTTACAGAGGAGCCTGCAGTAAGTAGTTCTCATTTGTCATAGAAAAGCAGCTGTGATGTAAAGGACATGGAATTCCAGCTTGGAAACATCCTACATGTGAGATCTTGAAACAACTCACTGAATTTCTCTGAACCCCAGTTTCTTCTTCAGAAAAATGAAGAATAATTGTATCCACCTTACATAGTGATTCTGAAGACTAAAAAAGACACCAGTCTTAAGTGCCCAGTGTATACAAGGTACAATGCACACACCCAGGAAAGGCAGCCAACCCATAGGTCACTGTTGCCATTTGCAACCCCTCCCTTCAACTTCCCAGCTCTTTTGTTTCTGTCTCTCATCATCTCTGGACACCAAAGGGGCTCACTAAGCTCCCCCTCAGGTGTGTTATCTTTTAAGGTAGAGATGGGCCACCCACCACATCCATAAGGAGGATAAAATCTAAGAGGAATGTCAAGTTAGAGAATCAACGTAGAAAATTATTTCTTCCTCTCATTAAAGAAGTTCCTGGTTTGGCAGTCACCAGGGATGCAGGATCCTTGTGACTTCCTGGTTCATACTGAGCCATGTGGCTCTCATCTTCAAAGTTACTTCATGGTGCAAGCTAGCTGCTGGAGTTCCAGCCATCATTTATGTGTTCCAGATCTCAGGAAGGAATGCAGGCAGAGGGAGGAAGGAGGAAGGAAGGAAGGAAAGAAAGAAAAGAGGGAAGGAGGAAGGGCAAAAGGGAAACACACTCTTTCCTTCTAAGAAACCTTCTCAGAAGCTCCACAAGACATTTCTCATAGCATCTCTTTAGCTAGAACTTAATCCAATGGCCACACCTAGGGAGGCTAGAAAATACAGTCTTTGATCTGGATGAACTGCAACTCCAAATAAAATTGAATGAAGGAAGGGAAATTTTGATACTGGTTAGCAACCAGCAGATTCTGCCATCAGAGAAAATCAGCTTAACAATCAATTTGCCTCTGTTAATCCCACTGAGAAGGTGAGTTGAACTACTAAAACAGGGCTGACTCACTACCCTACTCAGAATATAAAAACTCTCCTTTAGTGTCACTCCCTGAATGTCACAATCATACTGTTTTTAAACCCTTACTTTCAATCCCATGTTCTTATGCTTCAACCTAGAGCTTTTAGCAGGTTTAGTTTCTTATCCTCCGATTCTGAAATGTCATCTTGTACTATGACTTTAGCATCAAACTAGCTTCTTCTGAATCCATATTTGACCTTTCATCTCTTGCCTTTATCCACTTTCATCTGTCACTTACGGAAGGGGTACCAAACCTGGAGTCCCAGTTGCAAGAGGGGACTCTCCTACAAGTGTATACAAAATGATGTGCATATCCTCATTTTCTTCCTGGAGAGAGGGACCATAGCTTTCCTAGGAGTCCCAAAAGTGTCTGTGATCTCAATTAAGTTAAGAACCACTGCTCTAGGGTGAACTTCAAGGTCTTCTCTAAGGCTTTGGATGCAGGCAGACTCCCAGTTTTAAACACGGCCGAGGATGAGAAGGCAAGTTCAGAGGAAGTGTCAGGAATGGGGGCACCACGTTAGCCCATGTGACAGGTCTGGCTGAGGATCAACAGCCATGGGGCAATCTCCCAGCTTCTAGGAGAGGGTGTCAGGACTAAGGTCACAAATCAGAATAAGCTTGGTGTTAGCTGTAGGGTAACTGATCCTTCAGACCCAGGCAGGGACTGTCAAATAGGATGCAGCTAAGGCCAAGATGCTGGATTCATCCTAGTAAGCTTCCTTCTCAAGGTTGGGAATTGTGTCTTATGACATCTTTGTCTCCTCAGTACGTAAAAAGCCATTTGGAAGAAAATAGTCATTCATTAAATATTTGTTGAACAGAACTGAAAGAAAGGTTTCAGAATCAGGAACCTGGTATAAGTAAGGAACCTGAGATAGATGAGATCAGATAATCTCACGATCAAACTCTCTAGACTCTTCCTCCTGATCCTGAGAGTAATAACCATATTCCTGGTAAGAAGACTGATTCATGCAAACCTGGGCCCTAAATTGATTCAAATCCTGAAGTGGACCAACCCTCTGGTCTTCAACCCCATCCTTTCTCCCTTCCCCATGTGTTTCCTCCACTGACTTGACTCTGGTCCAGCTTTCATCCAATCCTTGATAAGGTTCTGATATTATGGTGTATGATTCCATTGGTTCCTTGCCTTACCCTAGAGAGCCTTCTCATTTGGCACTGTGAGACTTAAACACACACACCGCCACCAGTACCTCTTCACCATGCAAACGTTTTTGCCATTCCAACATTTCCAACAATCAGTGGCACTGTTGATAACGCATTTGTTCAAGAATGGTTAGAACCACATCATGAGTTTGCCCCTTGGTACGCTCAGCAGCACAGGCTAAACCAGGAACCCTTCTCTTCTTCTTCCTTTATCAGGCCATCAGACATGAGGGAGTGTTGGTTGCTACGGTGATGGGGCTCAGAGCAGAACCAAAGCATGATTGTGACCTCCAGAGGTGATGGTAACTGAACACATGATTTCCAAGGGTCTTCCTCCTAAGTTTCAAGGTTCCTCCCAAGGAAAATGGACATATTCTTTTTGCAAACAAAATTCTTCTATGAGGAGATATACCCTGAGGATCCTTCAGGATCTTTTTGTCCTCTTTTACCACCATGTGATTAATTTGATTATTTTTCTCCATGATTAAAATTTAGTACCTTCACCTGGGTCTTTGTACAACAATTGTTATTTCATCCTTGCAAATAGCTTTTCTAAATCATGAAGCCAGCAAAAATTCCCATTAATTCCCAGCATTGGCATTCAGCCTAAACACCCTAACCAGGGATGAAGTCTCCCCATATCACTTGGCTGAGTCAATCTAGGAATCTCCCTTCGGCGAGCATTGTCTGAGCCGAGCCCACAAACTCTAATGCTTAAGAAGGCCAAGCAAAAAGAAGAAAGACAAAGTCTCACAGTCAGTAAATATCTTTTTGTTTTCTGGTTTAATTTTCTGTAGATGGACCTTCTTTGATTTCTCTTAAGCCCTTTGCCTTGGTACCATGATTTTGTTTCAATGATTAGTCACCAGACTGTGTTTTGAATGGCTTTGAGAAGAGCATGGCTTGCTACTTTTAAGTCAGTTAATTAGAAGACAAAGCTAACCTACCAGAATATCTTGATGCCCACAGTTAGCTGTGTATGCCAGTTGACATTCTTCTTGTTTTTTTGTAATTGGTAATTAGAAAATCATCACTTACAATTATTCTTGACAGATATCGACTTCAGAGAATTATAGAAGCATTGCTGTCCTTAGGGATTATCAGTAGAAAAACCATGTAGATAATTATATTGAGATCTTTAAAACCTAGGTCAATACTTCCAATTATCTTCATGGTTAGCTTTCAGGTATTTACATTGTTTTTAAAAGATAGACTTTTTGGGAATTCCCTGATGGTCCAGTGGTTAGGACTCCGTGCTTTCACTGCTGAGGGCGCGGGCTCAATCCCTGGTCGGGGAACTAAGATCCTGCAAGCCACCTACCTCGGCCAAAAAAAATTAAAATATAGACTTTGGCTCTGGGTTTTATAAATTCTACAAGTGTGAAGTTGGCAATCAGTTTTTTTTAAATGTTGCAAACCATTTATATAGAATTTAGAATACATTTTTTTAATTAGCATTTGCATCATCCTATAATCTTAGAGGTGAAAGGGACCCAGAAAAATCATTTTCTTTCCTTCTATTTCTCTGGGTGGACCACACCTAAGACATTCCGTTGAGATGAAAGTCTGTTTTGTTGGTGAAGAATCACAGAGCAGGTACTTCCACCACCTCTCTCGGTAACCCAGGCTGGTTTCTGACATTTTACGATTGATGACAGTGCATTTCCAGGAAATTAATTGTTTTAGTGGTTTTAAACATCTTTTATTCGAACCCAAGTCCAAATGCTAAACCAGTTATCTGTGTTCCCCAAATAAGTGGTTTGACTTCTTTATTTTCATTCTTTTTCTCACCACCTTTCCAGGTTTACATATGAAATTGCACCAGTCTTTGTCCTCATGGAGCAAATAACACTTAAGAAGATGAGAGAGATAATTGGATGGTCAAGTAAAGATGGTGATGGGATATTTTCTCCTGGTAGGTTTCTGTTCTCTTTCCCCGGCTCTCCTCAAGGTTTGCAGTATGGATCCTTGGGATCCATGAGAACACTAAACACAAAGTGAGTTTGTAGAAGAATAACAATTTTCTCAATAGTCCTGCCTTCTTATCTTTGTCAGAGTGAAGGCTAGCAAGAATGCTACATTCTATGTGTACTAACCAACAAAGGCTGTGCCTAAACCTGTACTAACTGACAAAGGCTGTGTCTAAATCATGCTAAACAACTCTGGTCTGTCGATAGCAGTTTGATTAAGCTGGGGATCAGAGAATCAAGATTATCAGTGGACAGATCAATTTTGGCCAAAATAGTATATCTAATTTAAATCTCTAGTTCAATATAGATACAATAAGAATCTTTAAAACAGGGACAGATAATCTTGTAGAAAGGAGGGAGTTTGGAGTGGTGTCAGAGACAGTGTGACTGTGTACAAAGGGAAGAGAAAAAATTAAAATTGCAATTGTTCAGGCAATTGAATCAGTCCATGAATTTGCCTGTTTGTCAGGTAACTGATGCAAACATGACTGTTTGTGTTGGCCAGACGTACCTGGTTACCTCAGTTCTCCTTGCATCTTGATTTAAGTAAACACGAGTTTGGTTTTATTTTAATACACTTGGAGTTCTTCTAAATGACTCAATAACTCAGTTGGGCTGTTCTTTGAGGAGAGTATCCAGGCAATGTCACTGTTTCCTTCCATAGGCTCTATTACTCTCTCTTCCTCTGTCTTTCTGACTCAGAGAAAAGATTCATCTTTGTTCAGTAAATAGATTGAGCAGAAAATGGAAGCAGGAGGGTTGTAACTCACCTATCTCTTTGCAGCCGCTGCTTCTGCCACCCCTTATATTCCTGTCTAGGCTTCGAGGTGGGACAGGCACCAGAGTACGTGAATCACCTCCAGCCAAATTGCCTAAATGGCTTTGGTAATAAGTGTGATTATTTGTATCTCCAGGGCAAAGGGACCAGAGGGAAGCCCTGGCAATAGGGAAGCCAGCAAAACCTATCACGACATTGTCCTTCCCCTTTCTGACCTCCCTTGTCTCTTGAGACACCACGTCAGCCTTTTTTGGTAGAAACAGTAATGAGGAAGTCCCAACAGCTCCCAATGTGTCTGCTTGCCGATAGGGGGAGCCATATCCAACATGTACAGCATCATGGCGGCTCGCTACAAGTACTTCCCGGAAGTTAAGACAAAGGGCATGGCAGCCGTACCCAAGCTGGTCCTCTTCACCTCAGAACACGTGAGTTGGGTGCTCTTGCACATGGATTGTGGTGTTTTCCAAGGGACTGTCTAACATCTAACCTCCAGCCTCTGTTGCAGAGTCACTATTCCATAAAGAAAGCTGGGGCTGCTCTTGGCTTTGGAACCGACAATGTGATTTTGATAAAGTGCAATGAAAGGTAGGCAGGGGAGAGTGAATATTAGGTTCTTGATGTATTAAATGTGCTCATCTGTTAAATTTGTTTTATTGTGCTTAAGGACTGACTCAATACAGTGTGCCAAACTGCTAATGGTCTGTTGAAAATATCTGATTAAATTACTTTTTGCTGCTGTTGAAGTTTTTTTCCATGTGCAATCTCACTGATTGTTCATTTTAATTTCTCTCCTTTTACAATAATTACAGGGGGAAGATAATTCCAGCTGATTTAGAGGCAAAAATTCTTGAAGCCAAGCAAAAGGTATGTACACTACGGTTCATCTAAACTCTGGTGAATATCGATTTTTTAAAATACCTTCTTTCTGCCCTAGACAATAAAAAGTGTTTGATAATATAACAGATAATTTTATTGTGTTTCTAAAATTCTTTTCTCAGATGTTTGCTTATTTTCAACTTGTGTGATGACATGGCTTTAAAGCTGTGTCTACACAATATCAATTTTTTTTGAAAAGTGGAAAATTCAGTCATTAAACCACTTGTTCTGTCTTCACTGTGCTAAATGACTAGTTTGATGTACTTCAATAAATCCACTATCCGCGTCTCATGAAGATGCAGCCTAATTGAGGTTTTCACTTGCGACTTGTTAAGTATAATCTCATTTTAACAAGTATCATTTAAGGTTAGGATTCTATTTAGCAAACTGCTTGCATGCCCTGGCAGTTGGCCCATGATACTTGGTGAATCCAGCCTCAATAAATTCTCTTAAACAGAAAAAATCGCATAGAACAGATATATGCACGAGGCACTGCCAAGTAGCTGTCAGGCCATTTACCAACTCGTTGTTTTGGTTACATTCTTGTACCTCCTTCTCTAACTATGGTTGTTTGCCGGGTCTCAGCAGAGGAGACAGAAATGTCGCTAGGACTGAGCAAGGGGCAGAGGAGGAGGAGCTTCTAGAACTCATAGACTTCCGCAACTCTGTCTGAGCTCTATTACTTCACTTTCTCATTTATTTCTTGTTCACACCAAAATTTTACTGTATCTACTCTTAGGGAAACTGTGTATAGACCTGTTTTCAATAACCAAATGGTGCTTCAGTATTATTACTTCAGTATTATTATTACCTCAATACACTTAGAACAGCACAGCTTCTAAAATGTAGAATGTCCAGATGACACTCAGATACCTGCCCATCACTCCACTTATTACTCTTTCCTGCTTTATTGTTTGCCATAGAACTTATCACTACTAAACATGCTATTTATTTTGCTTATTTAATTTTGTTGACTGTCAGTCACTCCCGACGACAATGCAAACTCCACAAGGACAGAAATATTCGTCTTTTGTGCTCACTGCTGTATTCCCAGCATCCACAACAGGGCCTGGCACATGAAAGTCTTCAAAACTATTTGTTGAATAAATGAAGGAATGAGTGAATGAGCTAACAGAGAATAGTCCCAGATATAGTATCTGGTAACACACCAGCTTAGCTGATCTCTGCTGGAAATAAATGCTACAGTAATTCTTCTCCTTCATGTGGAAAGGAGGGAGGTTAGAAAGACTAATCAGCTTGTCCCTCTTGCCTTATAGGGATACATTCCTCTGTATGTCAATGCAACTGCCGGCACGACTGTTTATGGCGCTTTTGATCCCATACAGGAGATTGCAGATATATGTGAGAAATACAACCTCTGGCTGCATGTCGATGTAAGCGCTGTAACTCAGAGTGGCCTGGTCCCGTCGGGGGGGTGGAAGCAGCTCTGCTTTATAATTTGCCTCCAGCTTCTCCCATTGCCTCTCTCCCCACTACATTTCTCTGGCCCCTAGCAGGCCATTCATGACAGGTGCACACCACACGCCTGTCCATCCTCTGGGGCTCACCCAGTCCTTACTGGCCAATTGCTGTCATCTGTGATTCATCCTAGAATTTCATCTCTGTCACTTTCCCGGAAAGCTTTTGTCTGAACAAATGTCTAAGAGTGAAGGACAACTGATTTCGGAGGGAAAAGATGTAAGATACAACGTATAGAAAGTGGCCATGAGTCTGAATCTGAGCACTCAGCTATCTGCCTTCAGTCCAGCCATCTATGACACTTTTCTTCCAAAAAAAAAAAAAAGGAAGGAAGGAGAAAGGAAGAAAAGAAGAAAGAAAGAAATGCATACTGGTACATGTAGGAAAAATAAGGCAGCATATGGAAGGTGTTATCAATTAAGAGATTTAGTTCCAAATTTTCCTAGGAACATAAGAGGTACATTTTCACATGTGTGACTGGATGTGTTTTTTCCTTTTTCTCTGTCCATTCTCTTATGGGTTTAACTTCTCACAACTAGACAGTGGGGTGATCTGCCCTGCTATTGGACAAATGATAACAAAGGCTGTTCTTGTGTCACATGGTGTCCCAAGATATTCGATCCCCATGCATCAGAGGATGCATAAAAATGTCTTGCTATTGCAGGAGTGGTTGTGGGACCTCCAAGCCCCCCAGGGCTGCTGCCTTGTGAGTTTTTGAGGAGCCCTTAGAATTCTGCTCTGGGCAGAATCAGACAGCAGTCCCTAGTCCTTTGTGTCGCTCCCAGAGCTCCGCCCCTTGTCTCCTCCAGTGTCCCTGGCTTTCCAGAGCACTTTGGGCCTTGGGTCTCAGCACCACAGACTCAGCCCCTATTTACCTGTATCACTTGCACTGCGACTCTGACAACCAGGAGGAACTTTTGAAGAAGTGATAAACGATGAGTAAGCACAACTGCCCCTGGTGGAACAGTCAGCGTGGGTTCCATTTGTCAGAGAAGCTTACGCTTTTCGCTGTTTACATTCTCGCTCATGTTTCGCTAGAGATGTGAAGTGACCGGGCATGGACTCCTCAGCGCCACCTCCCTCTCTTTTTCTCTTTTTCTCTGTCCTCACAGGCTGCCTGGGGTGGCGGGCTGCTCATGTCTCAGAAGCACCGCCATAAACTCAGCGGCATAGAAAGGTAAGGGCTGAGCACAGGGCCTCCCTCCGTTCAGGCCATGCAACACGCTGTGCCGCTGAGTCCCTAATGTCCCTGCCCTGATTCCCAATGTCTTATTCACTCTAAGCTCACTTTTGTTCAGTAGGCACTTATTGAGCACTTACTGTATGCCAGGCACTGGGAAATTAAAGATGATGGATTTCCCAGTCAAATGAGCTCTCGCCTCAATTCACGATTTGGAAAGAGAAAAAGACAAGTATGCCGATAGTTACCACACCATGGGATATGCTCAGCAACAGATGTGATTGCAAGGTGCCCGGGTAGGAGAGAAGAGAGACTTACCAGTGTGGGGATTTGGAGGCTAAATGGGAGTTTGTCAAGGGCACAGAAAGGGGTGCTGATTTATTTCATTCTTTATTCTCACTAAGCTTACGTTTCCCATTAAGCTGGGAAAAGGGTAAGACACTCAGCTTACCTAACTTGTCTCATGAACAAAGATATTTCATCTGCCAAGCCATGCTATTTTAGACAGTGTAGTCGGAGGCCTTTCTGAGGAGGAGGCGGTTCAGCAGATACTGGGATAAAGGGAGAGAGGAAGCATGAATACAAGGAAGAGTGTTCCAGGCGGTAGGAAGGGCAAATGCAAAGACCCTGAGGTAGGACTGTTCTTGGCAAGTTGCAGGAAGGACTGTCACCGAGACCATTGTGGCTGGAGCAAAGTGAGAGCAGTGAGAGCAGACCGAGGGTGGAGAAGTGGACGGGGAGCAGGCGTCAGGGAAAGCACTCCAGTGGCTTCAGTGTTTGTTACCTCTCCTGTGCCTCTTGCCTTGCATTTCAGTTTTTTGTGTTTTTTTGTTTTGTTTTTGTTTTTGCGGTACGCAGGCCTCTCACTGTTGTGGCCTCTCCCGTCGCGGAGCACAGGCTCCGGACGCGCAGGCTCAGCGGCCATGGCTCACGGGCCCAGCCGCTCCGCGGCATGTGGGATCTTCCCGGATCGGGGCACGAACCCATGTCCCCTGCATCGGCAGGTGGACTCTCAACCACTGCGCCACCAGGGAAGCCCGCATTTCAGTTTTGAAAGGCCAGTATTGAAGCGAGTGAGACTGACTCGTTGAAGCATAGTTATATGACCCTTAACTTGGAGGACAAGATCTTAAATGTAGATAAGCCAGTCCAGCTTTAGATTTCTCAGGCAATTTCCATTTTCCATCTTTGAGTCAAGGAAAACTTGAAACATTTTGCACTAGACTTTTTCTTTTCTAACATTTTAAAGTACATATGTCTTCTGAAGGAAATTGAATCCATGTCATGTCTTATTACTTTCCACCTGTAGCACCAAAGAATCATTTACCTCAGACCTTTAGGACATTCAAAAAACATTTAAGACATTTTGTGAGATCTATGTATAACTGGTTTTTTTAAACTTATTTATTTATTTAATGTTTTGGTCTGCGTTGGGTCTTCGTTGCAGTGTGCGGGCTTCTCGTTGAAGTGGCTTCTCTTGTTGCGGAGCACGGACTCTAAGCGTGCGGGCTTCAGTAGCTGTGGCACGCAGGCTCAGTAGTTGTGGCTCACAGGCTCTAGACCACAGACTCAGTAGTTGTGGCACACGGGCTTAGTTGCTCCGCGGCATGTGGGATCTTCCTGGACCAGGGCTCGAACCTGTGTCCTCTGCATTGGCAGGCAGATTCTTAACCATTGTTCCACCAGGGAAGTCCCTATGTGTAATTGTTTAATGATTCAGTGAATGATAGCAATGAGAAAATGGATTAAATTCACTACCTTCTAAATAAGGCTTGACAGTGATTTTTTAAAAATTATTTATTTTTGGCTGTGCTGGGTCTTTGTTGCCATGCGCAGGCTTCTCATCACAGTGGCTTCTCTTGCAGTGGAGCACAGGCTCTAGGCACGCAGGCTTCAGTAGTTGTGGCTCGCGGGCTCTAGAGCGCAAGCTCAGTAGTTGTGGCACACAGGCTTAGTTGCTCTGCAGCATGTGGGATCTTCCTGGACCAGGGATTGAACTCGTGTCCCCTGCATTGGCAGGCAGATTCTTAATCACTGCGCCACCAGGGAAATCCGACACTGATGTTTTTTAATGAAATAAACATTTAGTCAACTTTTCTCAGAACTTTTCACAGTCTCTTTCATAAAGGTTTTCTTTATTATGCACATGGGGGAAAGTACATCAGGTCTTTCTTTCTTCTCCTTGAGATACAACTTACGCCTGTGGTCATGTATACACTAAATTATTTTCCCTCTTATGCACCTAAGCAAGATGAAGAGGTTAAAAATTCGCAGCAGGAATTTAGCTCCAGGGAGAGCAGAGGCAGTATAATTCCGAGTCAATTGCTATGTCTGGGGAAAACATCCTTCACAGGTATTAAAGCATAGAGCCCAGCTGTGGGCTAGGCCATTGGAAAGGAGCTACCTAAGCTTTAATCATCATACATTACACGTAGTTGTTTCCCTAATGTCCTAGCTAGTGTGCTCCTTAACCATTTAATTGTGTCTGACGGAGTGTTGTGGTTGCTAGGAGACCATGCTTGTTAAGCTATCATTGCAGCCTAAATAGGCAAGATTATGTTTATTTAGCATTTAAACAATGCTGCTAAGTAGCCAAAGTCTAGAATTGTCCAACTGATCCTTGCTTTTATGTGTCAGTCTTCATACTACCTTATAAGCAGGTAGGTCAGCGTCACCAGTCCAATTTATTAGTAAGAATGGGAAGGCAGAAAGAAGCTGAGTCTGTAGCCTAGAGGGAGGCAGTCTAGTGGAGAGGATATGAACACTGGCTCGACAGTTAGACTCCCTGAACTTGAATCTTGGCTCCAGCGCTTCCCAGCTGTGTGACTTTGGGTGATGTATTGAACACTTTTGTGCCTCAGTCTCTCCATCTAAAATAGGGGTGATAATAGTCCCTATATGGTAGGATTGTTGTGAGAATTAAGTATTCAAGCATGGTTATTAGCATTATATATTTACTAACTCATTTTATTCAATTCCTTGAGGCAGATACTGTTCTCCCCACTTTACGGACAGGAAAACTGAGGCTCAAAGGAGTTGTGTAACTTGCCCAAACTAGCAAATGTCAGAGCCGGGTTTCAGACTTGGGTACTCTGGCTCCAAAGCTTGAGCTCTCAACCATGACACTGCACTGATAAAATGCCTGTAACAACTCTTAGAACAATAGGATACATAATAAATGATGTTCGTAAATGTTAGGTAGTATTAATACAGTTATTTAGAAGAGGCAGTCTGCCACTTAGTACTCTGAGACTGCCTGCAAAATATTTGTTTACCACTTGATTAGTCAATTTAGGGGACGAGGTGTCGAAAACTTGTCTTGACTTGAGTTGCGGTGGGTGATGTTTTCCTCAAGAGGACGGTTGCCTCTTGCTGACTCCTACACCTCCTCCTCAGAGCATCATGTGTTTCTCTCAGGGCCAACTCAGTCACCTGGAATCCTCACAAGATGATGGGCGTGCTGTTGCAGTGCTCCGCCATCCTGGTCAAGGAAAAGGTCTGCCCTTCCCCCAAAGATGAGCTGGTGGCCTGCACACCCTTTAGAAGGCACAAAAAGAGAAAAGCATGGGTTTTTTGGGTTTTTTTTTTACAGTACTGGCTGAGGAACTCACAAGATTGACAGCCCCACTGGGCCTGCCATGGCTGTTCTTTCCCACCTGCACATGTTAGCCTTCGGCTAACCCAGCATATCCTGTTGGCCCTTGCTCTGAACTGTCCTTCTTCCTTGTTCAGCCCCCACGGCCCTGCCAGTGATAGAAACTACAAGGGCATTATTTGAGTTTGTGGTCCCAAGAGCTGAAACAACTTATTTGGAACCACAACTACAAATGTCAACTTAGGGCAACAAGGAATGTTGACCAAAAAGCTTCTGTAAATGACGATAGTTGTATAACTTGCCCAAATTAGCAAACGTCAGCCAGATTTCAGACTTGGGTACTCTGGCTCCAAAGCTTGAGCTCTTAACCATGTCACCGCACTGATAAAATGCCGGTAAGGCACTTAGAACAATAGGTAGTATATTCTCTTCCTAAGAATCTAATAGGACCCTGCCGTGGAGGGCCTTGTTCCTCCAGTAAAACTGTTGCACACTGAGGCGTTCTCAAAAGCCTGTCACCAACCTGTGGGGGCCAGTACCTGTACAAGCTTTTTACTCCACTCCTAAGTAGAGCACCTGTTAACTTCATAGGAGCTCCCGGAAAGGATTGGAACACTTTTTAGGGGGTGCTTTGGCGGAGGAAAATTCTTCTATGCATGAAACTGTCCCACCCTCTACAGGAAGTTTATATCCCCAACCCCTGCTGACTGAATGCCATAGCACTTCCAGTCTGTGAAATAACCGAAAACACCCATGGACATTTCCAGATGCTCCTTAGAGGGACAGTAGGGTGGGCTCTTGTTGTTGGCATCTGAGACAAAAGATCGTTTTCCAATCAGAGTGATAGAGGAGAAGGGGCGAAGGGTTTTCCAAGGGTGGTTTTGGAGAAGGACATCAGAACAAGTGCACGGCCTCATGAGACGTTAGAAGAAAGATTGTATGTGACCCTAAGTCCGGCCTGCCCTGTTTCAAAACCATCCACACCTCTGCCCTGTGAATACAGATGCACGCCTGTCTTGATTTCCATTACAGGGTATCCTCCAAGGATGCAACCAGATGTGTGCAGGGTACCTCTTCCAGCCAGACAAGCAGTATGACGTCTCCTACGACACTGGGGATAAAGCCATTCAGTGTGGCCGCCATGTGGACATCTTCAAGTTCTGGCTGATGTGGAAAGCAAAGGTACGAAGGAGGGCATTCAGGAAGTAGAGCAGAAATGTAATTTGCACAGGCTAGCTGGCAAAAGTGAGGCAAAGATATATCCCAGATAATCCATTATGTGCGAAATCAATATCTAGATAATTGAGTTAACTGTATTTTCTCTGCAAATGAAATCACTTTATCCCTTATGTCAAATTCTCTCTCCTTCCATTCAGTCTCCTCAATTTGAATTAGCATGACTTTTCTTATAACTTTCTCTTATAAGCACTAAAAATTTTGTCAAGATAAGGACTTCCACAGCAGTCCTTAGGGATGCTGAAATTGTTTAGTGCAGATGTAGAGAAAGAGATAAAGATAAAATTACTACATTATTCTGTGCAGAACCCTGAGTTCCTTTATATGGCCTCAAATCATGGGATATATATGACAGTTTTAAGTTCTATTTAAATAATGGCTTTCCCATTATTTGTACTTCTATACTCTCTTCTAGAAAATGCATACTTTATTCTAAGAAATCCTAGACTGAGGCATGCTATGTCTGCATTCATCAGTCTTTCAGGATGCATTTCTGTGTCTAGAAAAAAAAGCAAACTACTGGAATTTCCCCCAGTGGGGGTGAGGGAGAGGAATACCATGGGACTATTTATTTCAAAAGTATTTGTATGCAATCAAGTAAGGGCAATTTTTATTTCACAGCTTTATATTGCAACCATCGTTTTATTTTTCTACTGTTAAAGTAATTTTAATAAATTTCCGTATATAAGATCGGGTCACCTAATACCAAAACAAAAAAGGGTTTCCAGCCAAACATCTAGTCCAATGTTTTTTCTGTAAGAAGGATTTGATGGATTATTAGTTTTTTTCCTCATTAAGTTATTTTGTCTTAATATAGAAACAGTGTGAATTTGATTTCTACCACAAAGTAATCATAGGTATTTTAAGCATATAAATAGTCATAAATTGCAACAAGAGAAAGAGCCCTATCATTCAGAAATATGATAACCACATGGCCTGTCTCAGTAACTTGTGCCTTGGTTTTGCCTGACAATAACCGCTTGAACAGTCTGCTGGAAGTTTAGCTCAAAGAGTATTCATTGGTTACCGACGTGGGACCTGGTGCGGGCTTCCTTCCCAAGAAGAAAGTGGACTGGCCCGAGCACTGCTCAGCGGTAGCTGCTGCTTTGCCAGTGCCGGGCTTGGCCCAGACACATTAGCAACCCACAAGCCTCGTGCATCTGCTCTCCTTGTTAACACCGACCCACTCAACACCCCCCATGCTGCTGTTACTAATCAGCCATGCTGGCTTTGGAAACGCATGCTCAATCAGTTTGTCCATAGATGGAGCTATGCCATCTCAGGGCACATCCTGAGACCAGTGCTTCCCCATCTGCCTGCCTGCCTCTCACTAGAAAGGGGTAATACCATGTTACGTGGAAGGTAGCCTGCCTGGGAGGGAGGGGAACGTGTTTGGCCAGGACTTCCTGCTGTGGGAAGGTGGGTTCTAAAGTAGTATTTCTCCAACTACCTGTGGTGAAGAACCAGCTGGGGTGTTTTTAACCTCTCATAGACCAGTACAATAACTTGGTCTTCACTTAATTCATTTATTGTACACTACAATAAATGAATTGCTAGAAAGGTGAAATAAAAAGCCATACAAAGTATGAACACTGGTTTTAAAAATGCAGTTCAGCAGGCATAAAATTACTCTGTCAAGTGACCATAAATGTTCCTTATTACTTAATCTCAATTTTTGGACTCATCTTATCATGGACTGGTTACATTTTGTGGACTGGCCTCAGTCCATAGACAACAGTTTGGGTGGCATTATCCTAAAGCAAACCAGAAATGGGCTTCAGGCTGTGAATTACTAGCAAGAAGCTAAAAGCCCTGTTGAGAATAACTGCCCAGAGACTAGAGTGCCTTCAAAAGAGATGAGGCACACTTTATCGCATGCAGAGCTATGAGAAAGCCATACATATTTAATGAGATGGTTCTTGCTAGCCATCTCCAAGAATACTCTTATATATATTTCCGATAGACAAAGACAGCATAGCCCTCTCAATGCCATCACAGGGAAATTCAGCCTGTCACCAACAAACATGACTTTTCCTTTTTTAAAACAGGGCACAGTGGGCTTTGAAAATCAGATCAACAAATGCTTGGAGCTGGCAGAATACCTCTATGCCAAGATTAAAAACAGAGAGGAATTTGAGATGGTTTTTGATGGTGAGGTAAGTTATCATCCTGGACTAGATATATAGCATTTCTGGAAAATCTCTTGAGGGAAGCTCCTGAAGCTGTAGTGTCCCACATTGCTGGAAGCTGCTTCTGAATTTTCATTCTAGCACTCTTCATTTACTTCCCTCTGTGTCCATGAATGTTTCTTCTGGTAGCATTGGGATGACTTTTCCCCTTCACCTCTTCTAGAAAAGATATAGTTCTCAGCCAGCCCTTCGTAGGCAAGAGGTCTTTCCTTGGCAGGTCTGAATCCTGTATAATTCTGGGGTCTTATTATTGTGTTGTACCTCCATGATAAAGTGTTCCTCAGTTCCAAGAAGCTTATAGGATGGGTATATCCTTGTCTTCCAAGACTGGTTCTAAAATGAAGTTCTACTTTACAATAGATTCATTATGAAGAGAGCAAGATACAGTTGTCTCTGCCCTGAGTTCAGATCTGTATTGCACACAGTAAGATACTTGTCATACCAGTGTTGGCTGAGTGCCTGCGGTGTGCCTTGCCCCAGGCCAGGAGCTGGATTATAGTGTAGTGACCAAAACAGGTACTGTCTCTGCCCTATTGGAGCTCGCAGTTGAATAAAGAAAGTTGGGGGCTTCCTTGGTGGCGCAGAGGTTGAGAGTCCACCTGCTGATGCAGGGGACACGGGTTCGTGCCCCGGTCCGGGAAGATCCCACATGCCGCGGAGCAGCTGGACCCGTGAGCCATGGCTGCTGAGCCTGCGTGTCCGGAGCCTGTGCTCCGCGACGGGAGAGGCCACAACAGTGAGAGGCCCGCGTACCGCAAAAAAAAAGAAAGTTGGAATAGGAGCCAGTGCTGAACAGAAGGACATCCACTCATAATTCGGTGTAATAAAACACCACCTGCATTCAATTCAGTCTATTTATCAGGCACCTAAACTACTAGGAGCACACCAGAGAGTCACCAACTGAGCAAAAGAGCCCTGAGCAGTTCACATCAATCATACAGTGCTCATGCGTTTCACCTCTGGGACCTCACTCTCATCATTTACACTAATTTAAACATTCAACTAGCAGGTTAAAACAAATGTAATGTCTCTAGACCATGAGAGGCAGGCACAGTGATGGCAGACAGCAACTAGGAAGGAAACTGAAAAACTATAGCGAGAATACAGAAGGACTTAAAAAGCATGAGTCTTTAGGGCAGGAACACTTAAACAGTTCTAAGCATCTCAATAAGCCCTGTCTTACAGATTAGAACCAGTTTTAATTTTCATTATGATAATCCTGAGTCTTCAGAGAAGGTTCAGTATTGATAGAGTAAACTCAGAATATTCAGTACCAATAAAATTAACTATGTTTTGAGCATCTTCTATACATGAGGCACTACAAAATGGCAAGATGGATAATACCCTTTTTTAAAATGACCCAAATGTAATTTTTTTAACATTTCAGTGTTGAAAGGTGGGTAACTTTAGTCATCTAGAAAATGGGTTATGGGAAACAGTTCTCTTGTCAGATATGATGGGATTAACCAGGCTTTGTTCTCCCAAGTATAGAAGTAACATGAAGCCTTTTTTTTATCCTTTTTTTTTTTGTCTGAGAGACTTCCGCCAAGGGTCCATAGGGGTTTTGGGACAGCTTTCTCTCAAGTTCTCATAATTTTTCTGTTTTGTTTGTACGCATGCTTGTCTGTGAAAATCTCCACAGCCTGAGCACACGAATGTCTGTTTCTGGTATATTCCACAAAGCCTCAGGGGCGTTCTGGATAGCCCTGAGCGCCGGGAAAAACTACACAAGGTATGGAATCACTCCTTGTCTCATCTAACCCTCTGCAATTTCTCTGGCTAGTCAGAAGATCCTCACTCTGATGTGTCTTTCTAACGGAGGAGAAATAAAAGCTAAAGGCTTGGGGTGGTAGGGAGACATCTTGTTATAGTCTTCTTGGGTCTGAATTGTCCCCTCACTGTGGCTCAGATCAGTGGGAACCTCTGGAGGACGCATCCCTGCCTTCGGTTGGTGTTCGTCATTAGAGGGGTCATATGCAGCGCAGTTGAATAATGTACATATTCCTAGGAACTTTCGTATTAAACTATGTCTGTTAAAATATCTTTTACTAAGTTCAAGGCTGTTCTAATGCTGATTCATTCTAGTTGTCGGTTTCTATATCTAGTTTATATATTACTTATAGTTGTTTGTATTGTATTTAATTTATATAATATTTCATTCATCTAACCATTCAGCAAATATTTGTCGAGCAGAGTCCATGTGCCAGACAGTATCCTAGGCACTGGATTATACAGAAGCCCTAATTTGTGTTGTTGCCCATGTGAATTTTTTGTTTTTGATTTTGAATTTATTATCATTGTCCTATGTCCGACTTTCAAAATTCAGTTGCGCAGTACTTTCTGTAGGAATATGTGATTGGGTAGACTTAAATAGTCATTAGAGGCCATCATCAAAAATCCTACAAATAATAAATGCTGGAGAGGGTGTGGAGAAAAGGGAACCTTCCTACACTGTTTGTGGGAATGTAAATTGGTGCAGCTACTATGGAGAACAGTATGGAGGTTGCTTAAAAAAACTAAAAATAGGGTTACTATATGATCCAGCAATCCCACTCCTGAGCATATATCCAGAGAAAATTCTAATTTGAAAAGATACGTGCACCCCAATGTTCATAGCAGCAGTATTTACAATAGCCGAGACATGGAGACAACCTAAATGTCCATAGACAGAGGAATGGATAAAGAAATTGTGGTACATATATACAATGGAATATTACTCAGCCATAAAAAAGAATGAAATAATGCCATTTGCAGCAACATGGATGGACCTAGAGATTATCATACTAAGTAAGTCAGAAAGAAAAAGATAAATATCACATAGAATGTGAATGTGGAATCTTAAAAAATGATATAAATGAACTTACAAAACAGAAACAGACTTCACAGACATAGAAAATAAATTTATGGTTACCAAAGGGAAAAGGGGATGGGAGAGGGATAAATTAGGAGTTTGGGATTAGCAGATACAGACTACTTCATATAAAATAGATAAACAACAAGTTCTTACCATATAGCACAGGGAACTACATTCAATATCCTGTAATAACCTATAATGGAAAAGAATCTGAAAAAGAATATATATATATGTGTGTACAACTGAATCACTTTGCTGTCCATCTGAAACTATCACAATGTTGTAAATCAGCTACATGTCAATTTAAAAAATTAGTCACTAGATATTAGCCAAGGAAGAAACTTGTACAAGTAATAAAAAGAAAATTGCTCTTTTTTCCAACTAAGAAATGGGTTGCATTTTGAAAAAGAGCATGGTATATCAGTCTTGAGTTTTGTTTTGTGTTTTCCCTCACAAGGTGGCCCCGAAAATCAAAGCCCTGATGATGGAGTCTGGCACGACCATGGTTGGCTACCAGCCTCAGGGGGACAAGGCCAACTTCTTCCGGATGGTCGTCTCCAACCCAGCCGCTACCCAGTCTGATATCGACTTCCTCATTGAGGAAATAGAGAGGCTGGGCCAGGATCTGTAATTGCCGTCCATAGAACATGAGTTTCTGGGACTTCCCTTTCCCCTCTGGTATTCTAGAACAAACTCTGTATGTTGCTGAAACACGTAGGCCATTTCATTGAGGGAAAACATAATATCTTGAAGAATACTGTTAAAACCTTACTTAAGCTTGTTAGAGTTAGCAGGAAATGATGTTCTTTTTCAAAAGTTGCACATTAGGAGCACAGTATATATGTACAGCTATATATACCTCTCTCTATAAATATATGTCTGTATAGTGAGTGTGGCTTAGTAATAGATCACACGCATGTCTCCCACTCCAAGAGAATTCACTTTACCTTCAGCAGTTACTGAGGGCCAAACATGCTGCAAACCAGCTTGCGCAACAACCCCAGGAAAGATGTTTTTCAAAATGCCAGGTGTCGGGGACCAAGGGAAATGCTGTTGGCAGGAGTTGACTTCATTGTCGGTATTTCTCCCACCTGAAGTGATGATGGATGAGAAAAAGCACCACTGGCTGACAAGAGTCCCGCCCTTCCCATTAGTATCCTGTGAGGGGAAAACAGTAGCAGTCATTGATTGTTTCAGGTGTACTATTGCTGTATTTTTAGAGATTAATTTGTATAGATTGTGGATATTTCTGTTGTCTGACCTTGGGGCGGAGTGGAAGAACACATGTAAAGATTTCATTGACTGTTTAACAGTAGGTATATGAAATATTTGCTTATTTATATTCAGAGATTTACCATGTTAAAGAGGCGTCTTGTATTTTCTTCCCATTTGTAATGTATCTTATTTATATATTAATGCAGTAAGTTCTAAAAACTGATCATGGTATTTTCGTGCACTTGTGAGCCAAAGAGAAAAGATTAAAATTAGTGAGACTTGTATTTATATTAGAGTGCCCTTAAAATAATGATTTAAGCATAAGTTTACTGTCTGTAAGATAACTCTGATACTGTACATAACGTATATATGGAAATCCTGTTACTTACATAGCATCTGCTCTTCTATTACCCTCTCTGGCTATATGTCTGGTGTTCTCTACGCTTTTCTAGTAACTGTTGCGTAATAACTAGATCCCCTGTAATTTTGTAGTAGCTCATGACCAATCTCTGTGACTTGCTTAGCACAAACCTAAGGCAATGTTTCCGAAGACCTTCTGAAGTCGGATAAACTGACCAGGCTCACAACTGTTTTTGAAGAAAGGAAATTCACACTGTGCATTTTAGAGTATGCAAGAAGAATATAAACAAATAAAAATATTCTCCATGGAGAATTTGAAAAAAATTTTCTTTTAGTATCTGTTTCATGCAGAAAGAGAGGTTTCCAGTTATAGTTACGGGGATCACCACAGCCCATTCACTCTCCACTAGCTGACTTTAGGTGATGCTCAGTACCTTTATTAAGTTGTAACTCAACCCACAGTCTTAGGTTCCCAAGCCCCTTGTCTAAAAATCATTGGGATTCTAATTAAATAAAATTTGCAATTCACACCTGGAAAAAGAAAAGCCATTCCTGTTTTTCATTTTCCTATCTGCATCTTGGAGTTCCATTCATTCAGTTACTCAACAAATGTTTTCTTCCTCTGTAGCAGGCAGTGTTCTAGCACTAGATAGGGTTGCAGAGGCGTGCATGGCAGACAAATTTTCCTTCTCATGGGGAATCTTCCATCACTTGGTGTCTGTGGTATCTGAATACGTCTGAGAGCACAGAATTGTACCTTCCTGCTGTTTATGCTTGTACAGTGGGCCCAGTTCACTTCCTCAGGAAACATATTTTGGTGCTGGATCATTATGAAATAGGGTCCATTTTCTACAATATTCTATTAAGCTATGATAATACTATCTTACTCATTTGGAATACAAGTAGTTCCCTATCTGGCACTTGTAGGGATTAAATGAGTCATTTGTAATTAACATACTGATTGTACACGTAACCATTGTATTAAACAAACTGGGCTCCATAAGGAGGTGATGATAAAGTCACTTTATTCTTTCTCTTACAGTTCCTTCAAATCCCCTTGTGGGCTGATTTTTTCCACACCTCCATTTGAATTCAGGCCGATCCCGTAGCTTTCCTGGCCTCTCAGTCACAAGAACAGTCTCATTTTAGCAACTAAATGTCCAGGTCAGTGTAATAAGCAAGACCTCAAATTTGTATACAATATAGAGTTCCTCCCCTTCCTCCCTCTGGTACCTTTCAGGCTGCAATTCCTGGCGCGAGGGGGGAGGGGGCCGGTGCGAGGCTGGTGGTGGGGTAAAGTCAGCTGCTTTTTTTACTCTTTCAGCCTCATTTCTACTCCCTAGCTACTGTATTTTCCCATCTAGGGTCAGGCCTAGGGGGAGAAGGGGTCAAAGTAGCAAAGACACAATTTTAGGTAACTGTTAAATTGGCATCTGGCATCCGCGCCCCTGGTCTGAGATTTTCTTCTCATGGGATAATATTTTGAGGGGAATGGTTTATTTTTTTATTAAGATATAATTAAGGTACAGTAAGAGTCACTCTTTATAGTGTACTGTGTATAGTGTTCTGTGAGTCTTGACCAACCCATTCAGTCATGTACCCACCACAATACTTGGAAGAGTTCCATCACACCAATAAATCCCCCGTATCCTTTGTGTGTAGCACCTTCCCCAAGCCCCCGTTCTTGGCAACCTCTGATTTGTCTGTTTCTAGAGTTTTGCTTTTCCCATTTTGGTAATAGAATCATATAATATGTAACCTTTCGAGTCTATCTTCTTTCACTTAACACAGGGCATTTGGAATTTATCCATGTTGTCTTTATCATTTGTTTGTTCCTTTTATTACTGTGTAGTATTCCATTTGTATGAATGTACCAGTTTGTTTATCCATTCCCTCATAGAAGGAAATTTGGGTTGTTTGCAGTTTGGGGCAATTAAAATGAAGCCACTATGAACATTAGTGAACAGATTTTTGTGTGAATATAGGTTATCATTTAACTTGGGTAATTAACTAGGTATAAGATTGCTTGATCATATTGTAAGAGTATGTTTAACTTTATAAGAAACTAACTAGTTCTGAAGTGGCTGTACCATTTTGCATTCTCACTAGCAATGTACAAATCTTCCAGTTGCTCTGTATTTTTGCTGACATTTGGTATTGTCAATTTTTAAAAATTTTAGCCATTCTTTTTGTTGTTACAGCTTTATTGAAATATAATTCACTTGCCATGTAATTCATCCATTTGAAGTGTACAATTCCCTGGCTTGTAGACTATTCATATAGCTCTACAGCCATCACCACAATCAGTTTTAGAACATTTTAATCATCCCACAAAGAAACCTCATACCCATCAGCAAACACTTCTCATTCCCACACACACATCCTCTCCAGCCTTTGGAAGCCACTACTCTGCTTTCTGTCTATAGATTTGCCTATTCTAGACATGTCATATAAATGAAATCACACAATATGTGGTCTTTTGTAACCACATGTGACTTAGGATGTTTTCAAGGTTCATCCATGATATAGCATTTATCAGTACTTCATTCCTTTTATTGCTGAATAATATTCTATTGTATGGATATACGTTTTACTTATCCATTCATCAGTTAATGGACATTGGGGTTGTTTCCACTTTTTGACTATTATAAATAACACTACCTACTATGAATATTTGTATACAAGTTTTTGTATTGACATTTTGTTTTGTATTGTTTTTACTCTAATAGTGGTATCTTGCTGTGGTTTTAATTTGCTTTTTCATGGAGCACTTTTGAAGGATCCCATTGGAGCCCTCCCACCTCATCGCACATGAGACATCAAAGTCTCTCCTCCTGTGACCACTTAGGACTCAGACTGTCAGCTCTGGGCCCCTAGCAATATACCCTGTCCAGCCCTTATGTTGATACCCCTTCTCCAGGCAGTACTCCTGGGTGGAATCTCTTTTATTTAAAATCAATTATGCGGATTACATAAGGAGGGCTTTTAAAATATACGTGTACAGGATAAAGAATGATGATAACAGAATACTTGACTACCCACTGCTAAGCCAAAGAAATAGAGCATCATCAGTACCTTAAGAGCTCTCCACCCCCATCAGGAACTCTTCCGTAATTGGTTGCTCTCCTTTCCCCAAGAAATGATCACTATTCTGAATTCTGTGTTAAACACTCTCTTGTTTTTCTATATAGTTTTAACACACGTATATGAATCATTATGGTTTAGTTTTATTTGGTTTTGCACTCTGTATACATGGAATATTACAGAATATATACACTTCTGACTTTCAACATTATGATTTTGTAGGGCCAGAGCTAACCCATAAAGAGCCTTTGGACAGTTAAAAAAATTTTTAAAGGCACCGCTTCCTTCAGGGATAGGCATCCCTGTGCCAGTGTGTTCAGCTTGGCATGTGGAGCATGTAGTAGATTCTAGCACCTACTGAGCCCACTCCCACTTGCAGGCACAGCCTTATGTGACAGCCTCATGTTTTTGAGATTCATCTTTGATTATGCTGTAATGCATTCATTTTTATGGCTTTGATGCTATTCATTGGTATGAATATACTTAAGTTGGTTTATTCCTTCTATGAAGGTGGATATATAATTTTTTTCCCCAGTTTTTGCCTTTAGGGACAATGTTGCTATGAGCATTCTTCTTTCTTTTTTCTTTTGATTTTTTAGGTTTTTTAAAAAATTTATTGAAGTATAGTTGATTTACAATGTGTTAATTTCTACTGTATCGCAAAGTGATTCAGTTATACATATATATACATACTTTTTCTTATTTTTCATTATGGTTTATCACAGGATATTGAATATAGTTCCCTGTGCTAGACAGAAGGACCTTGTTATTTACCCATTCTATATGTAATAGTTTGCATCTGCTAACCCCAAACTCCCACTCCATCCCTCCCTCAACCCCCTTCCCCTTGGCAACCACAAGTCTGTTCTCTACGTCTGTGAGTCTGTTTCTGTTTCGGAGATAAGTTCATTTGTGTCATTCATATTTGAAGTTCATTCATATTTTAGATCCCACATATAAGTGATATCATATGGTGTTTGTCTGACTTTCTTTGCTTACTATGATAATCTCTAGGTCCATCCATGTTGCTGCAAATGGCATTATTTCATTCCTTTTTGTGGCTGAGTAGCATTCCATTGTATATATATACCACATCTTTATCCATTCATCTATCAGTGGACATTTAGGTTGTTTCCATGTCTTGGCTATTGTGAATAGTGCTGCTATGAACATTGGGGTGCATGTATCTTTTTGAATTATAGTTTCCTCCATATATATGCCCAGGAGTGGGATTGCAAGATCATATGGCAACTCTATTTTTAGTTTTTTGAGGACCCTCCATACTGTTTTCCACTATGAGCATTCTTTGCACTTGTTTCCTGGTGCTCATGTGCAAAATTTTTTCTAAGGTTTAATACTTAGAAGTGAAATTGCTGGGTCTTAGAGTACTTGTTGAACTGGACTGAGTAAAGCAGAGTGGTCAAACCAAGTTGCACATCAACCAGCAATGCACGTTTTCCATAACCTCACCATCACTTGGCCCCAAATTTTTGCCACTCTGGTGGGTACAAAAGAGTATCTCCTTGTGGTTTTAATTTGTCTTTCCCTGATTACAAATGAGATTGAGTATCTTTTCACATTTTACGAACCATTTGTTTTCTTTCTTCTTTGAAACGCCTAATTCATACCCTTTGTCCAATTTTAAACTTAGTTGTTTGCCTTTTTATAGTTTTTAGAAGTTCTCTGTATTTTCCAAGTACAAATTCCTTTTGAGTGTATGTTTGATAAATATCTTCTCCTAATTTGGGGCTTGACTTTACATTTAACTAATGGTCTTTTTTTGAAAATATAATTTCTTAAACTTAATGTAATAGAATTTATCAACATATTTCTTTACAGTTTTTGGTTTTTTGTGTGCCTTCTTTAAGAAATTCTTCCCTATCACAAAGTCATAAAGATATTCTCATATTCATATTGGCTTCTAAGTTTTATGGTTTTATACCTTTCACATGTAAGTCCTTAATCCACCTGGAACTGATGTTTGTGTTTGGTCCTTCTTCAAGAATGAAAGGGCTATTATTAGCCCTTTAGTCTTCCATATAAGTTTTAGAATTAACTCATCAAGTTCCACCAAAAGATCCTGTTGGAATTTTTATTGGAGTTTCACTGAATCTGTGAATCAATCTGAAGAATATTAACATTTTCAATATTGAATATCATAACCTTAAACAAGGTTTATATCTCCACTTAACTGGGTCATCTTTAACGTCTTTCAGTAAAGTTCCATAATGGACA